AACCACCGACACTTGACTTGACCGGCGCGGTGACCGCTCACCGGCAGACCATTGGTCCCAGCTGACCGATTCCGGTGGTCTGTGGTCCGCAGGTGAACATGCCATCCGTTGGAACGCTGTCACGAATGGGGAACGTGCCTGCCCCCTCCCTCCGCCCTCGAAATCCAACCGTCGATGGGTGGCGCAGGGCAAACCGAATTGTTTGCCGGCCAGAACGTGCCGTGAATCACAATGGGACCTTCCCGACGGTGACGGGTCCACTGGAGATGACCAAATGTGGTGGAACAGGACACGTCACTGATGGGGCTTCGAGCTGGGGCACCCAGGGTACCGGCCGGGGGAGAAACCGGTCCAGATTCATCCGGGAGAGCCGTGAGCCTGGCTAAATGTGTTGTGACTCGTGATTCGTGATTCGTGAGGCGCTTGGTGAGTCGTTACCGGCACGTGTCGAGCGAAGGATGACAGACGGATGACGTCACAGACCGGCCCCTGTCGCCACCCCGGTCCAGTGGCGGTGTCAGTGTCGGGGTGTCGGGGGTGTCGGGCAGACGGCCACCTGCGCCGCCTTACCTGGGTACGGTCTCTGACATTGGCACCAGTCCGACTCCCGAACTATCCCTGGTGATGACACACTGTTAGACTGTTACGCCATTGTAAGATGCTTCTCCGACACATGACTGGTTAGCGATGCGTCAGATGTCGGCGCTGATGACGTCAGAGTGCGTGGAGAAAGATGACGTCACGCCGGGCGGCCGGTGTCAGAGGCGGTACAGCCGCCGCCGGCCGGGTTTGTGAATGAAGCCCCGGCAGCCGGCCGGCAGTCGCTCGTGCGCCGTCGTGACGTGGGGTTTGTGATAGGATGTGTGCCGGACATCGACCGAGGACACTGTTGTGAGACGATAGTGTGAGACTCTCGAGTGACTGTTCCGGAATATTCGCCGAGCGCGAACGTTCAAGGATTCGAGGAACCATGGCCAGCGCAAAATATCAAGGTAAATTACACTGACCACGTGTCGTATCATGTTATATCTCTTTTATCGTCATGTTTCTGTTCAATTCATGCGATTTTCGTCCACATGTGCTCACGACCACAGTCGTGACAGAATGCGGTGTCGAGTGATTTCTAGAAGCCCGAGGCGTCTGCGGACGGGACCTGATAACATTGAGATAAATTCGCTCGCTTTGTCTCCGTCTCTGACCGATAACGAAACGGCGTGGGTCCCGTTTGTTGGCTTCCGTACACATGTCCTGAGGCCAGTTGTGTTCTGTTCTGTTGACGCCTTCGTTCCTTCTGTGCCCTGGCTAGTCACATTCGTGACTCTCAACCGCTTACGGCTGTTTTCGTTCCCTAAATTACTGCCGATTTTATTATAACTCCCGACTTCTCCGAAGCAAATTTCTAAACCAACTTACATAGCATTACATGATGTGGTTTTCCTCAAATAAGTCTATCGTCTCTACCCGAAGATTACATTATGAGTGCGGGAGGAAAATTGCGCATGCATGATAAATGCAAATTTACGGAAACGGTTTATGTATGTCCGTCGTCCCTTATCAAATGTCTTAGGTTTGCTTCTGTAATTGTGTAGCTCTATTAGTCCATAACTCTGGTTACCAATTAGGCTGTAACGTAACAGGCTACGATAATTAAGCCAATTATGTGTGCAATGCTTTCAAGTGCTCTCTAAATTTGGGTGAATTACATTAACAATATAATATTCCTCTAAATTAAGTCCCATTTCGGACTTTGTCGACCGTCATTCAGTTAATTATTCTCGTTTTGTAAGTTATTTGAGCTTTAAGGAAATAATTCCCACTACTTTGTACCGTCATCATGTTTCGTATATGTTGACGACAATGGCTATGACTAGTATGAACAGGCTATAGCAGAGGTCCTTTCTCGGAGTTGTGGAAGATCCGTGAGGTGCCGCTGGCCCTCACGAACGTCACGGTCACGACGGCCGGCTTCGTGCACCCAGAGCGATGCCGTCGCGATGTTCTGCGAACTTTTAGCTGTCGTTGAACGGCAGCACTTGTGAAAGCCGTCAAGGCTGAGCAAAACAGCTCGGCAGACTCTTTGTTAGGCCGTTTGTTTTGTGTTGAGCTGCAAACCAGTCGCTGGACAAATGTTTGCGTATAGCCTGGCATATTTCCTCATATGGGGCTGGATAACTTGCCGAAAAGGTTACAGTGTTTGGTTAGAAGAACGCTGTTTGCTCAGCTTGTGTTGGTTTGCTTGTTTTCGTTTGACGAAGATATTTTAGAAAGGCGACGTACCGATTTTAGCATTTATATCGTCTGAAGGGACTACAAGACATTATTATAATTATGCAAATGTTGCTTTACCTCGGGAAGGAGAAAGGAAAATAGGGATTTGTGTCACACACGCTCACCTCTTTGGTGGTCACTGGTCACCAAAAGTCGGCCACTTGCTTCACATTCAACATATAACCGCACCGCTCTTTCCTCGTTGTTAGTATGCACGGCTCCCTGGTTGCGTGTTTTACACCTCGGTGTCGGTGGAGCCCCGTTCGGTGCCCAGAACTGGCTCTGTTGCTGGCGTGTTTCGTGTCAGTCGACCGGCGCCCGAACACGGGGATGCATAATCAACCTCTGTACGTGACACATGCAGTGTCGCCCGCCCGCTGACCTGACCCCGAGAGAGCTGACCCCGCTTCCCGGGCCGGTCATCGCCGCCTTCCACCGGAACAGAGTGGCGTCCGGGAAAATAGGACAAATGGGGCAGCGCGGCCTTAGCACGTGCTCAGTGTATGTACCTACATGCCACTTCGCGTCTGGTGAATTTAGAAAGGCGAAAGGTGATTGACATGTTTCGTTTCACCGGTAGTAAAGAAGCGAGGCACGGCATTGGATGTCGGTTGGCATGTGTCTGTCTTCTGAGGGACAGAAGTCGGACACTGGGCTGGATATTCATGTCAGCTCTGTTGCTCCAACTCACTCCTGGGAGCCAGCGTTATCCCCAGATGGTCGGACGAGGGTGCCTGGGAGCGAGGGACTGCCGGGGCATTCCGAGGGGTCCTACTATCGCCGGGGTGCGGCGACAGAAGGGGTGCGTCGCGGGAAAGGGGTACTCGGGTGTCGCGTCCGTCGCGCCGGCTGGGAGCGGATCACAACCCGTCGTCCGTCGCGGACGGTCACGCCGGAAGTGACGCATCGTCGGCTGCGACGTTCCCCCAGATGGTGCAACGCACCCATGTGGCCCGCCGCGTCGAACGCGACGGCGCGGCGTGTCGGGACGCGCACCGTCGCCGTCGACGCTGACGTCAGAGCACGTGGCGCGGGCCGCGTGTCTGGGCGCTGACGCTGACGGAGCGGGCTGGGCAGAATGTGAACTGGGACGGCGCCGGTGCGAGTTTGACTCACGTCTTGGCCTGTGCGGAATCCAGCCCGTCTGGCTGATCGGAGACCGAGGACCGGCAGCTGGAGGAGACAGCGGTGGGATGGAGCGACGGCTGGAGGGAGACGTGACTGGGGTGTCTGACAGACGGCCAAGGGGGCGTCTGACGGATGGCTCTGTGTTTTGATAGGCGGTGTGGAAGTAATTGGCACCCACAGACAAATGGCGATGCAGTGCATCGATTAAATGCACCCCTTGTTATGATGATGCGAGTATTTAAACTTTAAATGCAGCACCAGAACGGTGTTTGATTTTTTGTTAGCGCTGCTCAAGGACCTGCTCGTCTTGCCCCCGGCCAGGTTTTATACCACCATCCTAACCTTCAAGCAGACTTCGCACCGTGCACGTTACGCCTTCCCCAGCCGCCTCGACTGGCAAACGGCCGGTTTTTGGGAGAGGCCGGCCACGTCGGTCAACTGTTCCCCTGATCGGCAGATTGATAGCGGTGTCTGTCCGAGCCGCGAGCCGACCCCTGACGGCGGCGCTGCCTGCATCTGGCGTGGGCAGCTGCACCGATCAGCTGGAGGAAGGGGAGTGCGAAGGGGCCGGGGAGGCTACAGGGGAGGCCCGAAGAGGGTCGGAGAGATCTGGGGAGTCCGAAAGAGACTCGGGAATGGCTTGATGGGCCCGGAGAGGTCTGGGGAACCTCGGGGATATCTTAGAGGAGTATTCGAGTTGAGAAGTCTGGAGAGACCCGATGAGGCCCAGGGAAGGCCCGGAGATTTTGCGGAGTCGACAGAGCGAAAGCAGCCAGGATGGCACGCGCCCGCTAAGGCCAGGTGGACCTGACACCACATCGCGAACTGAAAGATGGATGGTTCTTGTTCTGAGACAGGACGCAGCTGTTGAAAAGGGGATGTCCTGATGTTTACAAGCTGAACAGAAACGGCTCGGGGAAGGGTGGAGTGTTGGACATCTGATATAATGACAATGCATTGTTTGTGGACTGCTGTTGCTTGGAGTGGTGGTGACTGGTGCCACTTCACTAGCTCATTTATGCCGACCCACATTACCAAGAAAGGCACTCGAGTGGCGCCCGATAATCTGTACCACATCCAAAACATCAACATCTGTTTCCGTCCCGTTCCACTATTTCTGCCATCGCTGCTGGATATTTTGTTCTCAAACACTCAGAATCACCTGTGGTCTTTAGACTAATCCTGTTGGTTAGAGTCACCCGTCTGAGTGACGCCGGTTCTCCTGTCAGGACATGATCGAAAAAATCACTGTCGGTGTCGTTATCAGTGGATCAGCGGCGTGCTGCCGGCGCCAGCACCGGTCAGAGTCCTCCACGGCGACCTAATCCCCGACATCACCGGCTTCCGCCTTTCACCGTAATCCATCGCAGAGCTGGGCCACTAATCCAGCCAGCACTGGTTTAGCCACCCCGAGTGTGCAGAACACTGCACTGGATTAGTGCTGACTTATTGTGTGCATGTGATGTGACCGCTATGATTCGTTTCAGTTTTAATCTGTTTAATCTTCATCTCACCTAGTTCACTGCCATGGTTACGTTAAGCAATGTCGTACTCCGTGCACCTGGTGACCTCTGATCTGACCTGTCTGACCCGTGTGCTTCCAGACGTGACCTCTCTCCGCCGGATCTCCGCTGACCTTTCCGACGAGATCTGCCCCGTGTGCGGAATGCCGTTCGACCAGGGAATGAAACGAAAAATCACCGACGCCTGCAGCCATGAGCGGTGCTACACGTGCATGACCCAGTACCAGAGCTGCCCGCTGTGCACCAACCATGGTGAGTCGCTGCTCCGTGCACTGTGCACGGCGCCGGGCGCGAGTGGGTGGGCGTAGTGCATCGAGATGGGCACAGGATCATCGACCCGCCGCTGCACTGTGCGCCCAATATGGACGATTATGGGCTATCAATCTGAGAGACTGACCGCCACTGGACAAACTGAGCTTCCGTGCAGCTTTGTCATATGCTAATGTGGCTCGCTATGTTTCGATGCGTTGATCGTTATATAAGATTTGCTCATAAGGGGCAAGTTGTGATTTGTATCTCGGGAGAGGAATATGTAATTATATATGGGCATTATTGAATCATTGCAAAAGACAATCTTTTGAAATGTTCGCGGTTTAGCGGAGCTCGGCATGCGTGATTGGACTCAAATATTGGACCGGTGAAACATTATTGTTCCCCTTAATGTCATTTATAACCGGTGCTGTAAACGTCAGTACAGACTTCGACTGGGCTACCGCCACCCTCATTATGTAGTCCAAAGTGCGTGTGTCATAGAAGTCGTCCTTGTATACTGATGGCTCAGCATTTTCCCACGACTGATTCCCACGGTCTTCCGCATTTACGCACCTGCGCGTTGAAGACCAATCATAACGATAAAAAACGCACGCAGAACTTGAATGAAGTTTGCCGCGATCCGCATTTTTCACAATGCCAGGAATATTCACTGCCGGGGGACCGAACAATGGCAGACCTGCTGCATTGTTCGGTCTCCGATATCGAGATGGCAGCCGTTTCCGGCCCGCCGCCGTCGCCGTGGCCGTCAGAATCCACCTGAAGAGTCTCTGTCTGTACCTGGGACCGCTATCTCAGTGCGCCATGAGGGCCCAGACGAGACGGGGGTGGCATGTTTGCCCACTGGCGCCACAAACCTATCATCGAGGAGAGCCACTCGAGAGGCGGACGTCACCAGCCGGATGTGAGGATTGCGGTGGTAATGCATTGTGGCTGATATGGAGTGATATCGAACAGTCATTCATTCCGCCACTCATGTCAGGGGGTCTGGTATAACGCGATCGGTTGCGCAATGGAAGAATAACACTGCGCCCGATCCCCAACCGGCTCGACTAGTTTCATTACTTTACTCCCAGAGTTTTCTGACGTGTGTATTTTGTTTGCTAATGTAGCTGATCGTTGGATAAAATGCTAAATACACACTACACAGTACAGTACACAGGTCCCAGGTCACACTTCAGATTTGTTCGTCTATCCGTGCGTGTTTGTATGCACTTTGACGCCATATTCTCTCAGCCATCAAATCGGGAACGTTAAAAACTGAGCGCCGCATGCTAGCTTACCGGATATCCGGAAATTTGAGCGATCCATGTACGACTGCTCATCAAACCTAGCATGAAAAGAACTGGGTAATACGCGTCAGTTTCATCAGTTTGCGTGACAGCTGCTCACAAATTGTTTCAAGCTAGCTAACGCTTGCCTTGGTTGGTTTTATCGAGTCCCTTTACCATACATTGTGAGTGCAGGCAATACTATTGTGTGTGTGTCTGTTTGTTTTTTGAGGAAGCTTACACCTAGTCCCAACAATTTTAAAACTTCAGGATAAGGCATGCGCATTAATTTTATGACCATGAACAGTTGCACTTTTCGCCTGCACTAGTTTACTTCGGATGCCTATCGGTTATTGCCAAGCAAAAGTTTATCACAATTCTTCGAACGGGGACAAATCCGCTCTATCACTTCTAATAAAAGGCTTTATAAGTGCGCACTTGACGAGAACGTGGCAATGGCGTCATTGACTGCCACTTCGGATATATCTGGCCTTTCGCAGCTCGGACGATAAGGTCACGTGGGTGTCACCACTAGATGCACTCGGCCGGTGTGGGCCTGTAGTACCTGTTGACACGTGACCAGTTGTCGATTCAATGGCCGGGAGTGCCAGCCGGCTGCCGGGCCGTCTTATCCAGGGTCATCTGTTCAGGGCCGATCCGGCGGCGAGCGGGGGCGGGCTTCTCGGAACTCTGTAACGGACTTAACTCGGTCAGTTGACAGTCGTGTGTTTGTCTTCGGCTGTTTGACTTTTCATGCGGCATGATGTCTTGCTGCACACACACACGAGCGTCGAACAATCAGTTTGCTCTACCCGTGTGGCGATACGGCAGCATACTGTCAACTGGGTCACGTCTGTATTTGTAATCCGTCGGTGACGCAAAGCTTTGTCTGATTTTATGAGCGTTTAGTGAACATTTTGTTTGCAGCAAATCCCTCACAAACTGGCCATGAAATCGGGAGGTCTCGCTATCGATTACATCAGCGGCATCTGTCATTGTCGGCCGGCAATGCGGCGGCTAATTTCATTGACGACGGGTCGCGGCGCTAAGCTGACTCTGACTGTGATGGAGTGGCTCGCAGGGAGGTTTTGCCGGCCGGTTTTGTTGGTGGTGGCTGGCAGCTTCATTAGCGGGTCCCCGATCTGACGGCTGGCTATAGGCGATGATCGGTGATGGTCGATTCGCGCTGCACAGAGCCGCAGAGGCTGTCACCGGCTCGTCACCACCCGGATATGGCGCTGCTGTGGGATCACCGCCAGTTTCTGAATGAACTGACCGGCCTCGGCGGTTGTAGGTTCGTTGTATGGCCCACCGCAACTGCGGTTGATGGCACCGATCTGACAAGACCCTTTGAGGCCGTATGGGATTGTCTGAGACTGTCATGAAGCGTCGGGGACCGTTTTGGACCGTCGTCCCGGACCATTTCGGACCATCCGGCGCCATCTGAGACCGTTTTGCCACCCGCGTCCGTCTGGGCAGTGGCTCGCCTTACCGGGCGGCGGACAGCGGTTGACCCATGTCCTCCCCCGCCTGAGTACACAGCACATTACCACTCCGTCCGTGTTAGTTGCCTGTCGGTGTGAATACAGTATTCATCTCCGACCAGGGTGGGGATTACTGGGGATTTAATTCGAGTGCCCCGGCGCCCTCAGCGTCCGCCCGGCCGCAGCCCCGGCGGCGGGGTCCCGTCGGATCCCGGCGGGGTCCCGGCGCGCGGCGGCACCACTCTCAGCTTCCGCCGACCCCCGGCCGGCGGAGAATGTTAATTGGCCGGTCAGCCGGAGCGCGGCCACGGCGGCCGCTTTCATCGGGTCCGGAGCGACCCCCCGCTGAGCGGCAGGGGACCGGACCGGACCATCCCGCGCCGCCCGCACCCCGGTCCGGCTGCACAGACCCCGCCAGATGATGTATGGCCAGCTGCCGACAATGCCCGGCGCCGAAATGTGAGAAATTCGAGAGGGTCGACGATTAGGGACCGGTTTCCTCTCAAAACAAAGGTGGCTGTGGAATGCCGGACCCGGTAAGACAGACGGCGGTAATTGTGCACGGTCTGCGACAAACGGCGGCGCGAATCAGCGCCATTTTTGTCTCCGGTCGAATCCGGCTGATAGAGATCAGTGGTCCTAATCGTTTGCTGCCTGACGGTACAGGTTCAATGGCATCTGAATCCGCCACCACGGAGTAATGAATGAGTGATCAATCTCCGCTCTTGGACCATTGCCGCGCCTGAGGAAGTTAAACCGACATACCTCTACGATCGTGCGATGATGAGATACACCAGAGTGGCGTGTATTACGCCACGCAGACACGTTTTCCTCTCACGCGATCGGCGGAACGGCGTGTAGCCCTCCCTCCGCCCCCGCCACCGCGTGGCCCCGTACGCACTCCGCGTGAGAACCGGTCTGGTAGACTCGACCGGACCGGACGCTTCACCTGCCGCCATCGGCGAGTAATTGGTGTGTTTGTTAAGCCGGGGATTCTGTAGGGAGGTGACCGCCAGACCGCATCCGCTGGCTACCCGAGCCATTCGCCCGCTCCCGACCTCAGAAGTGGGCGATCACAAGGCAGGGTACTCGCGAAGGTCAGTCAATGGTGAGGGATAATCGGGGGAGTTTGTCGTCTGTAGTCTGTGAAGTGTTGGTGGAGTTCGGTATGTTGCCGATGACCTCTCACGTGGCTCTCCGCCGGCGTCTGATGATATCGGTCGGTCGGGGAGGTGCGCCGGCTCTTACAGACGAGTGGGTCCATTGGCACCTGCAGGGGACCTTGAACCGGCGTGGCGCCGCCGCCGCCGCCGCCGCCGCCGTGTTTCCTTTGTGCGTGAGACTGCGGCTGGTCTGGGCTGTCATATCTGCAGGAAACGCTCTCAGATGTCTGTCACCGCGTCTGTCGCCGAGCCGCCGCGGTCGGCACGGTCCGACAGGCTCGGCTGCCGCCGTCACTGGCCATTTCAGAGCACAGCCGTGACTGAGGCGACAGATTCCGCTGGGGTCGGGCCAGACGGCCGGCTGCACAGAACGCCGTGAGTCAGCCGCTCTGCAGCCGTCACGACGCGTGACGGCCACGTGACGACTGCGTGACGCCCGGTATGCGCGGCACGCACCCCGCGGAGTCTGACCCGGCCTGCAGGGCCGGTCGGCAGCGATCGCCGTGATAGCCGACCGGCGCGGCGGCCAACCGACCGGCCCGGCCGCGGTGCGGTGCGGTGCTGATTGTTATTAATGCCGTCTGCGTGCGCGGGCCTGCCGCCGTCGTGACTCCCGACCGGCCGCGTCACGGTACGGGCAGAGGCTGGGAGGTGGGAGAGAGGCAGGGCCGGGATGATCCTCGTCCGTCCCCTGGTCCGTCCGTCCAACTGTCGCCCCGGGGAGTCCGCTGAAAGAGTCCGGCGATCGGTTAACGCCTGCCCATAATCCCACGAAAGGGTCGCCATTTGGGGACGATGGGTCGTCGTCAGTTGGCGGGCGTAGCGACCGGCTTCGCTCAGAAAATGGTGACGCGAACCGATCCCAGAAAAGGCTCAGATTCAGCACAGATAGCAGATTTCACAGGATATCAAGCGACGATGATGACTGGCGCAGTGTTCGCACCGGTCTGTTAAGTTATTGCAATATTGATTTCTTAGCAAGATGTCTGACGATTTTGTCAAACGTTTTGCTACCGGGCTGTTTGAATGCTGTTTCTGACTTCGCAGTCTCGCTTTGTAATGTTTTAGTACGAAAGACTACGCTCTCCAATTCAAAAGCAGATTTTGTGCCAGATTTTGTGCCTTGCGGTACAGCATAAATGCAGGCGTATACCCTTAGCGCCATCTATGAGCAGGAATGTCAGCTTGCTGTTGCGTTTGTGGCGCCAGACGAATTCCATCCGCGGTTAATTCTGACCTGCATTTTTCCTTCCCCATGTGGACGTGCCAGCGAGCTAGGCACAATGCAGTGTTTCCCCATGTGTCACCGGAAATACTGTGTAGTGTGTAGGTACTGTTCTAACCCGTCCGTTCGCTCGACAGGCGCTCCGGCGAAGAAGGCTGGGTTCGCCTCCAAGTCCGGCAGCCTGCTGGGGTCGGCACTGGGCTCGAGTGTCTCCAGCCTCTTCCACGGCCGGCCGAAGATGAAGACCAACGGACACTTCGCCGCCTTCATGCAGGTAGGAATGCTGCAGCATGCAACGGTCGGGGGAGGGCGGAGCGTCGCCGCGCGTGGCTGCAGAGGGGTCACTAGGTGCCATGGAGACGGGTGTGAGAAGGGGAAGGGTTTCAGGAGTCAATTGTTGCTGATGCAACATGGCTGGTGGCAGGGAGTGCTGAGTGGGTGGAACTGATTGCAGTTGGTGTTATTGCAGCTGATGGACATTGAGTTGTCTGTCCATCTGTCTGAGATGTCTGACGATGTCTGACATGACTGCGCCCCATTTATTGCCGACCCCGTCTCAACTACCCGTGATTGTCTGGCACTGTCTGGTCTCTCCCTAATGTGACGCTGACGGTACCGAGGCTATATTTCGACGTGCCGCCGCCGAATCCATCCCATTAGCCGATTGGTCTGTCCGTTTCTGATGCAAGGGATGTCGTGTCGGCCGTCCGGCCACTTCCTCGTTCATCCATCTCGCCTGCAACGTCAATTGGCTGGTCGGCTGCCCCGGCCTCCGAGCCAGGTAACCGCCGGGTTACCGCGCTGGTTACACCGGCGGGCGTTTGCTTCCTCTGACGTCAATCTCTGGGTTGAACGGGGCAGGACCGGCCCTACCAAAGCGGGATACCGTGCCGCGGGCAGCCATAAGCCGAGCCCCGTGAGCTCCCTCGGAAGCGGCGCGACTCCGCCCTTGGTCATGATTCAGCCGCTATCAGATTTGTCGGGAAAACGGCACAGTCTGACATCACTTCGCTGCCCGTCTGCCTCCATTAGCTCCCACGTGCCGGGGCATTCTCGGTCCGCAGGCTCGCCGCGGCCGCTCCCCGTCTCCATTATTCATATCCAAATGCGCTCTGCCCAGCACGGCTCAATAACAATCTCAGTCATTTGTTACTTTTCATTCGCGTATTTTCCGATACGATCTAATATAACCATCACTTGATAACCGCACTACCGTTGGCCAATCGCTTTTAGCGGAATGGGGAACCGCTATAAATAACCCCTAGTGTACGCCTTTCTGGACGAACCATCAGGGCGATGACCGTACGCCTCGGGCGATCAGGGGCTCTGTTGTCATGGAAACGGTCTCAAGGTTGGATCGACGGGAGCAATGGACGGAGCTGATTGTTGCTGTCCGGCCACAGCAAACATGATCATTATTATACCCTATGTTTGCGATCATACCGACACGACCTGACGGTAGCCCATAATAGTGAGTTGAAACGCCTACCCAAAAACCCCAACAACAGACGCATAATATGACCTGACGCATGACAATGATGGCTGACCCGTCGCTGACCTGACCTCTCTGTCTACAGGCACGACACGACGCAGCCGGGGCGCCGGGCAGGGACTCACTGACCGCGGCCGCCCCTCTGCGAGACATTGCGAACAGAAGCGGAGGTTTCCTGTCGGCCTCTGCTGGCCGCCAGACCAGTGAGTATCCACCGGCCGGGACCGGTTCTGGGCCGGCCATCTCTGCCGTCCGACACTGCACGGGTTTGTCTCTGTCGCGCGGTCCAGAGACCGACAGTGATCGGGGATAAGGGTGGGTGGCTGCGGGCGCTGGGATAAGACGGCTGTCGAGCTCTCCACAGTGTGGGACAGACGAAGCAGACAGAGCAGGCGGCCAGACGGAGAGCCAGACGGAGAGCCAGATGCGGTGCAGTCGACCGCAGCAGCCGCGGAGAGCGTGCCGGTCGGACCGGTGCGCCGGCCCGCCGGTTCACCGGTGCCGGTTCGCCAGTGCAGCGGGTCGCTCGTGGTCGGTTCCACGGACCAGGCTCTGCGGTGGCGGGTCGGCTGCTCTCCTGGCCGGCTCTCCCAGCCCCTTTCCCTTTGTGTCGAGCCGAGTAACTGACGGTTATCCTGGGCGTCGGCGGCAGCGCGGCAGGCGAGGTGATGACCCCTTGTTCGTCACGCAGAGGGGCCGTAAGGGCGGAGGAGCTTTTTCTAACGGCCTACTTCTCACGCCGTTTGTACGCGTGGCTGGCCCGTTAAATCCGTCCTCCGACTGTCCTGACTGCTCATCCATCACGTTTGTTCGAGTATTCCGCCCGTTCGCCTGTCTGCCCGTCTACCCCTTTCCGGTCCATCACGCCTTTGAGCTAGTTCCCCTCCCTGCCTACCCCGTCTGAAAGTCCGCCCTCTTGCCTGCTGTCTTGCTTGTCGTCTTTTCCGTCTGCCCCACTCTCCGTACCGGCGGCGCCAGCCCACGCCAGGAACGTGCCGGTCCGTGACAGAGCGTCGCAGCTGTTTGTTATTGCGTCGCGTGTTTTGTGCGCCGTGTTTTGCCGCACGGTGACACCCCCGGAATCACCTGTCGATGTTAGGAACGTGCGCGGTCGCCGGTGGGCCACCACTGGAGTCCTGGAAACACGCAGGTGGTCTGGGAGTGTGACCTGCAGTGACCTGACCTGACCTTGTTCACAGTGTACACCACGCCCCCGTCCAGCCGGCGGAGAGGCATGGCTGCCAGTCCCAAACTGCTGCGTCTGGCGGCCCGGCAGAGCCGAACCGCCCGCGCCAATACCATTAGTGTGGATCATCACACGGCTTTGTCAGGTGAGTTTTCCCGGCCTGTCACATCTGCACTCACACACCGCGGTTGATTTAATGGCTTTGTCAGGTCCTATCACTACCTCACAGCGCCATGATAGGCATCGTGTAGAGAAGCGATGAAATTAAAACAATGGATCATGTCACAGATAACAGTAGTACTGGATTGGAAACAGAATATTGGCAGTTGCAGTAAGAGGCCGAATGTTTTTTATGCGACGGCGCCAAAATGGGATTCTCGCGTGCTGCTGGGTGGATAATTTGTGTGTTGTGTATTGCAAGAAATCGTAATTTTTGTGTTTTGTCGTTTACATTTAAAATCAAAGCTACCAATGTTACTTTCATTTGCTTAAAAAATTAAAGTATTTCACTTTATAATTTGATTATTTAGAGGGCACAATGCGTGGTGTTTTCTTTCGAAAACAAAGTGTGGTGCAAAGCCTTACAAACGTATAGGTACATCAACAATGGAGGAGGGGAATGAGCGGTAAAAAACTGCCGTTCTGGCTACACCCAACGAACCAAGAGGAACAAAAGATTAAAACAGGAGATGTCTCACATGCCACCTATTCGCTTTTCTCACCGAAACATCTCTACGGGCTCAGTGGGTTGGCGCCATGGGTCACCGTGACCGGGCTGAGTGAAATCAGGACTATTCCGCCGCATGTGTGAGCTGCATTTCAGAAAGGAAGATTTCGAAGATGATCGGTCATTTCGCACCGGCATGCAGAGACAGCGCCGTCGGCTCAAGAGCGGCGCAGTCCTGTCAGTATTAACCAGCGTGGATTAGGTACGCGATGCCCCCTGTGCATGAGCGGCCAGCGAAACTAGCCATGGCAATTGGCATCCGCAGTCCGCACGCCACTCACACCAGAAGCAGGTTATGAAGGACCAGACCGATGCGTTCTTCACGAATGACAATGTCAGCTATCAGGTGGCAACTACAACTGGTCGAGTGTCCGACAGTTCCTGGAGAATGAGGCGGTACTCCGAAGTCGAACTAAGGGCTTCAGATGGTGGTCACTGGTCACGTTTCAGCCCCGCCGACGCCTCCGCCCGAATGGCACCATCAGCATCACAGCAGGAGTGACAGCAGGATGGTGCTCTTGTCATCCAGGAGCCAGTGGCCGCGGGGGCGAAATCCACTGAAATGGAGGACATGGATGACAGCGCCAAAGCCTCCCTGGGACACAGCTCTGGCGCCTCGGCACGCTCGGCCACCAGGCGTAACAAGTACGGTGCCTCCGCCAGCCTGCTGATCTATCTTGGGGCTACGCCTAAACGCCGCTGGAGGTACGACTGGAGAAAGACCAGGAAGACATCGACCTCGCCGTGAGGATCTGCCATATTTGGAGGCAACTGCTGAAGACGGAAGCTAACAGGAACCAGCTGCTGGTCTGCGATCAACCAAGAAGTGACGAAGATAGTCGTAAACTGGGATGTCGAACTGACCGGAAGTCGTTTGCAATGATAGCCACGACGTCCTTAGGAGCCTCCTTCCAGAGATGTATGCAACGGTTTTCAATCTATTTGCTGGAAAGTGTGGAAACATGGTAACTGATAAGTGAGGCAGACACTCAAGACAGTGCTGTCCATCGAAAGTCAGGAAGCAGACACCCCAGCGGCAATCGGGTTGCACCCCAGGTGCAACCCGATCGAGGAGCGACAAGAGGCCAAAGCTCAGCAGGGTCAAGAAGATGTAAGGCGGGGAAGTAAGGTCGCTGATGAAATTGGGAGGGCAGGCGAAGCGAAGTGACACTTGAAGGGGTGTTTTGTGACGTTTGGATGGTTCGTTGTGACAGGACTGGTGTCGATTAGCATGTAAATAAAGAGATCAAACTCCCATGTACAAGTACTTTTTGTGGATGAGAGTGGGAAATCATTATAATCAAATCAGTGGCATACGTTCCCTCACCACGGTGAGGAAAGTGTAACCAGCAACGTTTAGTAAAATAAGTTGCCATTATGCAAAAATGCAGCAATAAACACGAGCACGGCTAGATTGCTTCTTTATAAGTTTCATTCACATAAACCATTTTTTTTTTTTGCCTGTGGGAGAAGATATCGAAGTCTGGGCACGAAATATTCGGTTATGTTTTCGGCCTCTTACTGCAGCCACCGGAATCCTGTTTCCAATCCAGTACTACTGTTATCTGTGATCATGTCCAAACACTGCCACTCGTGTGCATGGAGGTACTGAGAATACTGTGCTTTGGTGCCTGTTTGTTCGTGAAGTTTGGTAAGGTGGAGCTTATTTGGGATGCTATCAGATTTGCTCGACGGTAATTAGGGTCGTTACCGCTTTTGGTGTTTCGTGACAACGTAGGCAGACAGGCAGAAATTCCCCTTTCGTTTATTACAGTTTGTGGTGTCGTGGCGGATCTTCACGCCCTTATATGGAATGGTATTGGCCAGTTTAGCTCGTTTTTAATAACGGAGCGGATGTTGAAAGTAGACGTGTGTCCTTTTGTTCAGCCCTCTGCCCAGAAGACGACGCCAACCGACGCTACATGCTCACTCGACTGAGCTCGCTGTGGTCCATGGGTCCGTATTCAGCCGCGTGGGAGTTGTGTGTGGCGCCAGATCAGTGACGTTTATCGCACTTATTTTTGGCTTTGGTGGTATTTTTCCCAAACTAACCACAACCACCACTTACGCTTTAAACTCATGGAAGGCGAGGCTGAATGAGCTTAGACCGATGTGTGAAAGGGAAAGTAATCAACGCTTTACTTAGTTCACTCATATATTTTTACCCCTGCATTTTATGCACGTCGTAACCAGTTTTCTATATGTGCACCGTCTGGATGGCCATGTGGCTGGATTCAGTGACCCCGGGCGGGGCGGGGCGGGGCGGGATGGGTTTCTGGCGGCGCCGCACCTGTCGGGCGCGGCCCGGCGCGACTGTTGTCGGGGCGGCTGCCACCGGACGCCTGTTGTCGGCCAGGAAGGGCGCTGCCGCTGTCTAGCAGAGGGTGTTGCCTCCGTGCTCCGCCCGTCTGTAGACAAACGACGTCCGATCAGACCCTCCATCGGCTGATGCAAGGTCGCCCGGTGGACAGTGGATGGAGGAGGAGGAGGCGCGTTGCAGGACGAAGGCTGTCACATGCTCCCAAGCGCTGCTCTTATACAGGAGCTTTCACGGCTCGGACGAAAGCTGCCGCAGCTCGACCGGCGCCGGGCGTTAGCGATGGCGCGCAGATGGCGGCGTCGGACCAGCCGCCGCCGCTGGGACCGTCATCAGATCGTCTGATGAGACAGGGCCGCGTCGGCGCCGTCTGCACGGGTACCACGATGTTGTCAGTCACGTCGTGCGGCTCTGAATAGCCGGTTGGTGGGCTGCGAGACTCCGACGTCAGGCCGTCAGTGACGTTACACTGATGTGTGTTCAGCTGACGTCGACCGGAAGCTGACACGCGGCGCCGGCCGTCGCTGTCGGTGTCAACACAGTGAGCAAACATCAGCGCTATTTGAGCGTCGAGAACAGAGACGCACGACCGACACACACGGGACGGGCGGTGACGGCAGCGCGGTGGTGACTGACCTTTACTGCCACAGACCGCCCTCAAGTCAGAAGTTTCAGCCCAGAGGGCACGACAGGTCGTGTGGGGCGCGAGGCGGGGCGGGACAGAAGGTGTCGGCTCGACCCACGCCGCGTCGTCATGGTTCATTGCACCGGCTGCCGGTCTTAGCGCGGCGATGACAATAGCGTTGGCGGAGGCGGCGGCCGCAACAGCGAGGTGGGGCGGGGGAGGGGCGGGGCATCGGAGAGAGGGATACCTACTGCGCGTTGTCGGAAATCTCATTTTGTCCTGCCCGGCGTCGCGTCATGGTGCCAGTAACGTAACTCGGGCGACACAGCACTACTTCAGGGACTCGTAGGGACCGGAGCGGAGGGCCAGTTAGGCCGACCAATCGAGCCGGGTCGTCCGAGTTGGCCTGTTCCGGGCAGAGTTGGGCCGTGCGCGGGCGCCCGATCACCAATAGGTCGCCGGTGGGAGGCCGTAAATTCCGGCATGGACGGTATGGTGGGACGGAATGGGTGGCAATCTCCCCGCGCGCGGCTCGTTTGCCGGAAAGTCAGCAGAGTTGTCTGAGCGCCCGGCCGTACATGAGTCGAACGTGACGTTAACTTCAGGCCACAACAGTGCAGGGCGGGAACCGGTCGTGGCTCCGACCAGTCGGCTGTCTTTGTTTGAATCCGAGGTAATCGGTCTCTGCGGGACGGTACCGAGTATCATACTATATGAAGTGAGAGACGATGGAGTGGGCCCCGCTGTGGTCTCTCATGATGCATGGAGGGGAGGGAGGGACTCGGTCGAGGGTGGGTCGAGCACTGTTGTCGGAGCCATCCGACCAGGCCGTATTTGGGGTGCCGATCCTATCGGCTCTGCACGGCTGGCTGCAGCTCGGCAACGGGCGACAACCACCGGCACCGGGCCAGGAGCTGGGCGGCGAAACGGGCCAGGAACGGAGCGAGAAATCCAGCCGGGCCAGAGCCAGGAGCCGGGTCAGGAGCCGGGTCAGGTAACGAACAGGGAACCGTACCGGGAATCGATTCAGGAACCATGCCAGGAACCGGGCCAGGTATCGAGCGCAGAAACCGAGCGAGAAATACATTCAGGACTTGAGTGAATCGGGTCATGAACCAAGCCAGGAATGGGCCGCAATGGGCCTGAAACCGAGCGAAAAACCGAGCCAGAAATGGACATTGGACAGCGACAACCGATCGTCACGGTAACAGAGGTGACTGGTACCCAATTGCTGACGACAGCAGGAGCAGGCGGGGGACTGCTGAGGTGGGTAGAGGTGGCTGGAGTGATTCGATCTGTTGGATCGTCAGCTGAGGAGGTTCTGTAGTCAGCAGTCCCGCTGAGTTTCTCCGGGCTATGTGGGTAGGGTCTGTCTCTATACATAGGATGGTGATGAGGGTTGCAGGTGCTGCTGCACCTGGTTCTCGCGGTGCTGTGTGGTCGGGGCCGGGCGCAGCTGTCAGTGACAGGATAGTGACAGCTCGCTGACAGAATATGACAGGGAGCCGCGGGCAGGTGGTGCTGTACCCAAGGTCGGCCGACGACCGTCCGTCAGACACTCTCCACTCAGCCGACCTCTGACCTCTGACCGGTCACTGTGGCGCTATCACATCAACCACGAGCTATGGGAGGTCATGGGATAGGTGGCAAGATGTCGGCCACAATTGGGACACGCTCTTCATCCAGACGCCGGCCCACGTCTCATGGGGGACTAAGTGGCCGTTTGACGGGCCTAAACAATGGCGCGACGCCTGGCGGACAATGCGCGTTTTTTGCATGTTAGCCATGTTTTATGTCCGTATTGCTCGCTTGGTCGCGTGACAAACAGGAAACGTCGGCCGTCTCCTGTGACAGACGCCGCCCCGGTGAATGGATAATGCCAGGTGTGACTGGGCCATCCGTTCCATGGCGTATTGATTCTGACAGGTCTGGTGGCAGTAACTCGGACTCTGTGTTCACCGGCGCATGTAACGGCGGACGTGTCAGTTTCAGTGTCAGTGGGAACTGTCAGTGTAACTATTGTCTCTCACGGTCGTCTCCTATTATTCAGTCACAGTCAAGAATTCCGTCATTGTCACAACACGCCCCCCCCCCCCCCCCGTCACTGCTCTGTGTGCGGCTGAAACTCAAGCTCAGCTCCATCCATCGTAACACATCTCACTACCACACCCCACGGCCACACACACCTCTAACGCCCCTGTGCTATGTTCCAGACACGGACGACGACTGCTGCGGGGTCGGCGGCGTCCCCTCACTCGACCACGCGCCGGAGGACTCGGCCCTGTACGCCCGGCTGGGTCTTCTGCTGGGTCCTGGTGCCGAGACCCGCTCACCCGGCTCGGAGAGGTCGCGCTCCAGCCGCTCGGGCGCTAGCTCCGGTAGGGACTCACGCGGCTCACTGGCACACCTGGACGGCAAGTCGGCCAACACGAGCCCCGTCTCGACACTGACCGGTGAGTGGCTGAGAGGGGTTCGTGGGGAGAGTTCGTGAGTGCCGGCTTCGAGGCTTCGTGAGACGGGCTGCTGTGTTACGGGCTGTGTAGTGTTCACGGGAGATATCTTGCTACCTGCCAAAGTGCACGGGCCTGTTTGATTTATCTCCACTGGCATCGCACCCTATCGTTATATTATTAGCGTTATGATTTTATTAATGGTGTAATAAATTTGCTTGACAATGCTGCTGCGATGGCTATGTATGGTACTTTTTGCAACTTGCTGCCGCTCACGAATCATACTCAGGCTCGCTGGGAAGAAACACTACAATCGCGTTAAATTGGTTACACTCTGTGGTTAGCAGAACAAAGGGTACGGGCCACGCACTCCAATTAAATTCGAAATAATGACCCCTTGCAGGTCTAATTGAGTTATCGCTGTTGTTATCGCGGACCAGGTATTCACGCACCGTGGCCGCGACGCCATCTAATCTATCTGAAACACCGTCCATCCGTCCCCCGCCCACGGCTGACGGTGTAATTGCAAAAAGGGACTTCCAGTCTGCAAATCCTCACTTGTCCGTGCCCTTCTGGGCATGTCGGAGCCACCTACAATGTGCTATGTGATTGTTCCGTAACCTGGGGAATGTTTCGGGGGAGGAGGTTAGGGTAGTTTGTCCCCACCGTATAGAGTTAGCGAGCATGACTGGGCTTATAGCGTTCAATGAATTCGATTGGTTGAATTTGGATCAGTCTGCAGTCCTGATCGGTTTAATTTAGACCGCACTTGGTACCGATCGGTCCGGGTATGAGTTAGACCACTGTACCGCTCCGGGCCATAGCTGCTGTCGACGTAAACTGAAGCCGACATCGACTGTCGAGTGGCTGCTACCGTTCCACCGACTCGTAAATGATTACCCACGAACCGGCGGCGATGGCGGCGGCGGTGAGTGCAGTGCACCTTGCAGATGCCGTCGCCCAAGGCCAGCGAAACGCTCCTCCGGGCTCCCACGACACGTTTGGAACATTTATTATCGAGGAAGATGAATGTTGAATGTAGATTAACCGGCTGCGCGGACAAAGGGCCCGTGTACGTGATGGTGATGTCGGTGCCGGTGGTGATGGACGGACTGGTGCCGGCGCCGGCTGTGTTGGATGGATTGGTGTTGGTGCTGATGATGGTGTTCTAACTGGTGTCTCTCACCATCCGGCAGGTTCCAGTGAGTCGGAGCTGGCCCACCTCCGCTCCGAGCGCAGTCGCGAGAGTTTCGGCTCTCTGATGTCCATGTCCCTGGCGGGATCCACCACCTCCGCCAGTCCGCTCATCGCCTCCCGACGAAACTCGATCGGTGAGTAGTGCGCCTGCGCCGTGACCCGCCCCGCACGCGAGTGTGACCCTCCCCCAGCCTGCTGCACGGTGGCACCGGCAGGCGCCGCCCGCCGGCTCAGCCGCCGGCGTGTCCTTCCCTCCGTAACAGACCGATTAAACCTACCCTCCCCGCGGCCGGCGGCGGCGGCAGAGGCAGCATTGGCGGCCCGACGAGTAGCTCCGAGCACCGGGTGCGGCCTATTTATTCAACGGCCGCCCTTATCTCGCTGCGATCGCTGCCTCTGCTCCGCCGGCCGTCGCCGTTTGTCTCGCCCCGCTCGATCGGCCGTTAGCTCGTGTGCCACTTCTGATCGGCCGTGATTAGACGGCCTGTCTGTTACGGCCCATGACCCACCGCCTTCCCTGAATCCGCGCTAACCGTCCGCCTTCCCCGCAAGCCAGTAACGCTTCTGTACGCGTATTCTGCGTGCGTTAATTGCCCGTGTTCGTTTTTACCTCTCATTTGCACGGTGTGAGCAGTGTGCGGCCGTGCTGGCCGGTGTGCCCGAGGACGTCTCTCGCCCGTGTGGTGTGCAGTGAGCATGTTCTCTAGCCGGCCGTCTGATGACCGCAGGTGGAGACAGGAGCGTCCCTTCCCCGGCCGGCTCCAGCTCCAGTGACCTGGTGGCTTTCCGGGGTCTGAGAGGCCAGGCCGGCCGTCGCTCAGCACGCTGCCCCCGGGTCACTCCGCCCGTCGATCTCAAAGGTAGGCAGAGGGGGCTAGGTCCGCAGAGAACTCCCAGCCCTCAGAGAGCGCCAGGCTCCGCAGAGAACGCCCAGCCCGAGTGAGTCGTCCTGTGGGAGTCGTCGATCCCGCACTGATTAGCAGAGTGTTAGGTTTAATGAGCTGTGAATGGCGGCGGATGAGCTGCGGCTGATTGAAATACGCCGCCACCAAAGAGCGGCACTCTGCGCAGAATAGACAGCGGCGGAGATAAGACTGTGCGTACTCCGGTCGTAATGCGGGGATGAATACAGGGTTAGAGACTGCGCTGCTCGTATAAGTTAATCACTTCGAATGTAAGATAGGAGCTTGTTGAAGGTCGTATTTAAATGGACCTTTCTACCCCTTTGAATGCACCACCTTCATGTTTTGTTTAAGTGTCGCTTTATGCAAATACGAATACAAATAGGACACCTAGCATGGTAGCGCCCAACCGTGTTTACTGATGCAACCGCAGTCGTTTCGTATGCTTCGAGGGAGTGGTGGCCAATGGGCGTAATCCTTATCCTGATCGCTGGCTGTCGTCCTGAGCGGCCACTAATCCTCCCCGATCGCGGCGTGGTGCGGCTCCTCCTCCTCCCCTGCGGGGCTCATCCAGCCTCCTGACCTCCGGCGGAGCGTATAAACATTGTCAGACATCAGACAGGCCAGCTCTGTCTGACCACAGTTGGGGACGATATGTGAGAGCTATATGTCAGCTTTCTGACCATGGCTATCTGATTCCTTCGCCGATTCCCGTCCGATGCCATTTCTGACAAGGGGGTTGCTGCCATGCCATTGTTTGATTGGAGTTTGTTCGCATTTGTTTTACTGCTGTTGTGCTATCACCCCGAGACGCCATGTCGATGACCATTGTCCATATGATCGTCCGTCCACGTCGCCCGCCTGCTGACCATGTGACCGCTCTCTAACCGTCCCCCTCGCTCTCTCCGGCAGCCCGCCTCTCTCCGCCGCGCGGTCAGCCGCTCTCCCTGAAGCCACTGTTTCACGAGGTGCCGCAGCAGGAGCAGGATCCGCTGTTCCTCGGACGCCGCTGGCTGTTTGCCGAGCTGGCCCGGGTACTGCTCAACTCGCCGAGCCGAGGCTGTGTGCTGGCCGGAGGTGTGGGCACGGGGAAGACGGCTGTGCTGCTACAGATGGTGGAACACAGCTGCTTCGGTCGACGTGCCGCGCTGCGGGAGGATGGACTCTATCAAGGTGGGTGGTGAGGTCGGGAAAAGAGAGGAGGGGTAGGAAATGTGTCGAGCTGAGGGATGAATGACGCTGTAAAAGTGGTACTTGATGAGAGGAAGGAAGCGACGGAGACGACAGACAATGTTTGCCGAGTGATGTTGCTTCATTTCCACGAACCCATTTGTTGTTTTCCCATCTGTTTCGCTGTGAGCGACATTCCATGTTCATGACTCTCGTCCTTGAAGTCTTGCCGTACCCACGTAAATCCCAGCCTCTGGACGTGGTAGGCATGCGAGCTAAGTCGCATCTGGGGGTGTTAATTTGTATCAGAGGATCAGCCAGTCCCGCGGGTAAAAACAACTTAAAACGGTGGCGCGCCAGCCACTCGGAGAAGTTGGAGTTTCATCGCTCACTCAGAGAAGCTCTCCGTAATCCTTGGTAATCGCCTGCCGGCTGATTCCTCTCGCTAGTTTTTAGTTAACCCAGTCTGCTTGGGTGAAAAGTTGCACCACGTGGGGTCTTTTCGTAACCCTGCAGTGAAATGGGTATCACACGGGAAGCTTTTGCGAAAGGGACATGTTATGCGTAGAAGTTGCTATGCTGACTGTTACTTCGTCGAAATTTGGTTGAAATTGTATTTTTCCGCGAAGCACAGATGTCTGGAATTACGTAGGTCTGATGAGGACTGATTTATTGGCGATACATTCCTCACGCGATTTAAAGCGCATTTCTGGTCATCCTCTGTGACACTAAAACCATCACCTGTGAAGGCCTGGCTCTGTTATTTCACATTCATCACATCAGCGGCCTGCCGGGACGCCAGTCGGGTATGTGTATCCCGGCTATTGTTTTCCGGAGACCCGTCTGACCTTCTGTGCACCGAGTGAGCGATTTACCACTGTGTTAGTGCCGACACAGGCGACACCGTCCCGACACCCTGCATCTGTCTCCTGCCCAACCTGTCCGTCCCGCCCGGTCGGCCGCCATCCACACAGGAACGCCGCGGCGCTGGCCTCGACACCTTTTCCCCGACATCACCGGCCGATCACCGACATCCCGCGCCCCAATCAGACGATCGGTGACCCGTCTTTCAGTTATTGGCCGATCGCCCCTCTTATCCGGGCGATCTGATATGCGAGATTGCCATCTGACCATGACTGCAGCGGCGAATGGTAATACGCTCCTATTATCGTTAACTCTGGGATCGAGAGCTCCACCAATTAAGCTGTCTTCGGTGCGGTACTTGTGGCCTTTCTTACGATGACCTCTGTGCTCTGCAGAGGCGCACCCTACCGGCCCCGGCCGCCCTCGGGGCTCGCTGGCTGACAGCGGCGTCTTCTCAAACATCTGCTCCGTGCCGGACGAGCTGCGCGCTCTCGGCAGCCGCGTGGTGGCCTACCACTTCTGTCAGGTATGTGTTCGTCGTGCCCAACATTGTCAGCCCAATGTCACTCAATGAATTCAACACAACAGATCACTGTCTGTCTGACGAATCACTGCAGCGGTCTCACAACCGATGCGTCTCTATAATGCATCCCAGCGGCCTCTGACCAAATCTCTCCCCACCCACAGGCGGATAACAGCGCCACCTGTCTGGTACCGGACCTCGTGCACTCGCTGGCCGCCCAGCTGGTGCAGGCGCCACAGCTGGCGGCCTACCGAGACCACGTCCTCCGCTCGCCAGCGCTGCAGACCGTGCTGGCGCTGCGCTCCTGCGTCACCGATCCGGCCGCTGCGCTCACCAGGGGTATTCTGGAGCCGCTGCAGCTGCTCAGGAGGACGGGGCAGCTGGCCGGCGAGACGTGCATTGTCGTCATCGATGCCCTCTGCGAGGCCGAATACCACAAGCCAGGTGAGAGCAACGGAACGGTGGATTAGCACCGACTCGTTCTTTGTGGATGAGGCTGATAGGTTTATAAAAGTTCACAGACTACTATGTGCTTAAGAAAAAGTCATTGGATGATATAAAAAAGAAAAAGAGGTGTCGATTAGTAGGTAAATTCATTGTTTTGCCCGTAGAACAAGAGCAAGCGAGTACTATGAACTGTTTTCATTATGCCGCATATAATATGAACTTGTGTTTGTGTTTCAGAGTACGGCGACAACGTGTCGTCGTTCCTGGCGCGCCACCTGATGAAGTTCCCCGGCTGGCTGAAGCTGGTGGTCACCGTGCGCTCTCAGATGCAGGGCATCACCAGCATGCTGCCCTTCCACAAACTGAACATGGACCGACTGCTGCGCGACTCGGACGAGCTGCAGAAGGACCTCAGCGACTACATCGCCTTCCGCATCAACAACTCGCCGTCCATCACCAGTAGCATCCAGGTGACGGGCGCCAAGGTGGAGGGAAGCAGCCAGAGCCGCTTCATCGCCCACCTCACCGAGCTCTCCCGCGGCTCCTTCCTCTTCGTCAAGCTGACGCTGGACCTCATCGAGCGAGGACACCTGGTCATGAAGTCATCCAGCTTCAAAGTTTTGCCCGTCAGCCTCAACGAGATCTTCCTGCTCAACTTCAACCTCAAGTTCCCGACGCAGAGATCGTACGAACAGGTGCGTCCGATCCTGGCCAGCTGTCTGGCCAGTCTGCACCCCATGAACGCGTACGAGATCTACCACTCTGCCAACGCCAGCTGCACGTCGACCGCACTCTCCTGGGAGGAGTTCCTGCGCCGCTTCAAGACCCTCTCGGGCTTCCTGGCGCGCAGGATGGACGACACCTACATGCTGTTCCACCCGTCTTTCCGCGAGTGGCTGCTGCGCCGCGAGGAAAACGAGAGCCAGAAGTTCTTGCTGGACGTGCGTCATGGCCACGCCAACATCGCGCTGCGCATGAGCCGCCTGGAGGCGCCTCTGGACGCCCAGAAGACCCTCGAGATGGGACACCACGTGCTCAAAGCGCATCTCTACAAGAACTCCCGAGACGAGCTGCCGGTGCCGGCACGTGATCTGCAGGCACTGTGGGTGGCCAATGCCTCTGCCAACCCCTCTGCGGCGCTGTCGTGCGACCGGAACGCGCACAGTCCCAACGTGAAGGTGTCGACACTGCTGCTGCTGGCCGGCGCCGCTCCGGACACACCCACTCGGCAGCGGGACGGAGCGCCGCTGCTGGGCCACTGCGCCGCAGAGGGCTGCGACGAGATGCTGCAGCTGCTCCTCAAGTACGGCGCCTCCGTGGACGGCGTGAACGCGCGCGGCCAGACGCCTCTGATGCTGGCGGCCGTCGGCGGACAGGCCGGAGCTGCTCAGCTTCTGCTGCAGTGCGGCGCGCGCGTGGCTCTACGGGACGCCGCCGGTCGGTGCGCGCTGGTTCACGCCGCTGTGGCCGGTCATCTGAGTGTGATCGAGTACCTGCTCTGGTGCGACTGGGCGGCCGGCGGCGGAGACGGCCTCACCATGGCCGAGGCGGCGCAGCAGGCGCTGGTGGCGGCGGCTGGAAACGGTCACATCCAGATTGCCGAGTACCTGCTCGACATGGAGGAGGTTAGTGAAAAACAACTATATTCACTCCTCTAGGTTATAGTTGCATCTACTGATCACCGCTAGCTCCATGTTTATGTGATAATTGATCAGGGTTTTTGAAGTAATCTTCCCTTTTCTCACCTGTTTTGACAAGGCTGGAGAAGTAGGCGCCCATCTTTCACTTATTACTATTGTTTGCAAAGTTATTAGCGTGTGAGTGGTGTTCGCGCTACTCACTGTTAATCTAACCTATGTCTGGTTTCTCCCACCAGGTCTCTGTGGACGCCTGCGACTCTCTCCACGGTGAGACTGCTCTCACCATGGCGGCCGGCGCCGGCCACAAGGCCATGGTCGAGATGCTGCTGCGCCGCGGCGCCACTGTCGGCGCGTCCAACTCGCAGGGGGCGCCGCCGCTGCTGGGCGCCGTCCGAGAGGGCCACTGGGACATCTGCGTGGTGCTGCTGGGTCAGGGAGCGCTCCTGGAGCAGACGGATGACGCCGGACGGACACCGCTGATCGTGGCAGCCGGAGAGGGACACATGGGAGTGCTGGATCTGCTGCTCTCTAAAGGTACGCGCCGGGCGGAGCTGGAGGCACTGCATGCAGTGTTTAACATCAGCAGCAGTTAGCCAAAGACAAGGGTCAAACTTATCTTCAGAGTATGCCAGACAAGATGCCCGTGCTTACGTTCTGAATGGTCTCGGTGTCTGTAATCCCAACTATTTAGTACTTCCATAAAACCGAAACATTGCACGCAGCCCCGATCTCACGTTTTAACACCTCTTCCGCCGTCCCGTCCACAGGCGCCTCTCTAAGCCGGTGTGACCGCGAGGGCCTGAGCGCGCTCTCCTGGGCGTGTCTGAAGGGCCAGGCGCGCGTGGTGCGCACTCTCCTGGACTCGGGAGCCGATATTCAGCAGGTGGACTCCACGGGGCGGACGCCGCTCGATCTGGCCGCCTTCTTCGGGGACGCCGATGTCGTCTCGGTAAGTGCTGCTTGATTTGGTCCGGATATGTGTTGGGTAACGGGTGGAGCTATGAAGACGGTGTTCCGTTTTCTATAATTTCTTGTTACTATTCTTATGATCGGTGGAGTGAGTTATAACTTAATTGCATAAGCTAACTTTCTGTGAGCGAGGATCTCTGCTTATCTGTTTTACTGGTATTGAAAGGCATGTAGCAAACGGAGCCTAGAAAATCCAGCATTTGGTCATTCCTGCAAACCTATATCCAAACACGTTTTCGTGACTTCTCCTATCTTTCCAACGTGACAACTGACTGTATCTGTGCTAGAAATCAAATTGATCCCCACGTAACAAAACAAACAGGTAGTTAGTTCCCAATTACTTTTTTTGCGAACCTCACTGCCGCTGGTAATGCAAATCAGATCGATAACTGCTTTTGCATTCTCTTTGTAGTCTGGCGATAACACTTGCATGGTTCCAAAACAAGTCTCAATTCTACCGATGACGGCACGACACAACATTTAGTGAGTGTTACGTTACGCACTTCTGTCATAATTCCTCGGCGTCTTCCCTTTCGGTATTTCCTCCCATCCCCTACCGTCATACCATCCGGACATCTGTCTCTGTCACCTCTGTGCGGTCGCCCCACGCCAGTGCCGTGACCTCTGCTCCCGAACGTGCCGCAGCTGTTGCTGGACCGCGGGGCCGTGCTGGAACATGTCGACCTGAAGGGGATGAGGCCGCTGGACCGCGCCATCGGCTGCGGGCACGTCAGGGTGGTGCAGTGCTTCCTGAGGAAGGGAGCCAAGCTGGGCGCCGCCACCTGGGCCATGGCCGACGGCAAGCTGGACATCATGTGAGTGGTCTCTCTTCTTCTGCAGTGATGGGTCACAGTGGGCAGGAGGTTCACTTTGTGTAACGGGAAAATCGAACAGGGAGGGTTATGATCCCTGGAGACGAGTTGTGTCGACTTACGCTGTTGAGATGTGACAGGACATGATTGTTGTCCTGTTTTGCAATTCACGGGCAGCTCATTGATTGTAACGACCATCTTACCTTTCGTGCTTCCATCTATTTTCCAAATGGAAAACGCCTGTATCATTGATAGTGACGCTCCCATTTTACATGCGCATAGAGTGCGTGGAATGTAGGCAGTCGATTATCCTTTGTGTACTCAATCGGTGCATCAAAAGCCATTACCGAGATCACGCGACGTCGCCTTTCTGTTCTGCTGATAAAAAGTTACCGAATATTCAGCCAGGGTCAAGCTCCGATGGGAGGATTTCATCATCCTCTGTACCATCACTGAAATTCCGATAAAATAACGTGATGGCCACTCCACAGGTTCACCTTGTTGAACAAGCTGAACGACGATGGCATGACGCTGTACAAGAAGTGCCGGATCCAGGAGGCGGACCACCGCTTCAGCTACGCCCTGAAGAAGTTCCCCGAGTTGAGCTCGCTCTCCGAGCACGAGGAGCTCTTCCGCCGACTGCACGTCAACCTGCTGCTCAACCTGTCACGCTGCAAGCGGAAACTCGGCGTGAGTACTGCTTTTACAGCCTCCGATCATAATTCAGTGTGTTTCATGTGTTTTTGTTCCCAACTGGAATTCTGAAATGTGATGGTAGCATCTATTTCCGTTTACTGACATCTGTTGGACCTAGCGCTGACATCCATCTTTGACCTTTCTCTACAGGAGCACACCAAGTCGGCGGAGCTCGCTACCCAGGCCATGGCAGTCCGACCGGAGGCCTTCGAACCATACTTCTTCCGTGCCAAGGCCAAACACGCACAAAAGTGAGTGAGCCTGCACTACTCATAATACCAGTAATGCTTTGTTTTTGCACGAAACAACATAGAATAGAAGCATAAAATGGCTACTAGCGTACAATGTTGATGTTGTACATATTACTATTCATAGCTTGAAATGGAACATTTTGTGAACGAGCATGAATCCCGATATAGCTGGTGTCCGGTATAAATAGCTGAAGCCCTCACCCGATTCTGGCCAGGCCCGGGCCTTATCGGATGGTGGCATCCGGTGTTGGTAGTTCTCGGATACAGACGGACAAACAGCTGGGAGTTATCGGTGGCTCAGGGAGCGACCTCCGGGATCGAGGGATACCGGTGACCCGGGTCGTAATCCCCGCAGCCGTTCAGTCCGTGTCATGTGATCCGGTTTTGCCTCACGTGTGTGGCAGAAATAGACGTTCCACACTACCTGACCTGTTCTGACCTCTCTCGGGTCGAGTTTAGCTCTGGCACCTGGTCTATGTCCGCTTACCTGACCTTACTTGTTCTTATTCGACCTAATCTGGCCTAATACACCTCTCCGTTTGATCTTTCTTTGTCCGAAGTGGGCTCAGTCTTAGCTGACCAGACCCGGTGTAACCTGTAGCTGTCCGGACCCGATCTGACCGGTCTCCTCTTGTCTCACAGGGAGCTGGATGCCGCTCTGGCCGACCTGAACGAGGCACTGCGTCTGGCGCCCAGCAGCAGAGAGGTGCACCGCACCCTACTGCAGGTGCGGGATCAGATTCAGCACCCGCAGCTGGCGCCGCGTTCCGGCCTGCTGACCTCCATGGACCCGCTGATGGCTGCCCAGTGCTGACCGCTGAGCTCAGCCGGTCTGACGTCAGAGAGGGAACGGCGTGACGTCAGAGAGGGGAGACGGTGTGACGTCAGAGAGGGGACGTCGGCGCCGAGTGACGTCATCCACCAGTGTGCCAAAGAGAAGCATGAAGGATAGGGAAATCAAAAGAAGGATTCCGGATAACTGCATTTATCTGATCGAGTTCTTGTATGAAGGCAGCTCAACGATGTGACGCATTTTACCTATGGTGACGATTTATATTTTGATGACCCGGTTTGGTTGCTTGTGACTAGCTTGTGTATGACCCAGCGTGAAGGCTTTGTATCTGTTTTTGGTTTTGTAGCTTAGGACTTGTTACGGAGAGAGAGGCGCGGCCCGACGGGCCAGGCGTCGCGGGCTGAGAACCCGCGGCATGTGTGATAGCCGCCTCTCTGGAAATTCCGCACCGGAGTTCCTAAGATAACGACTTTGACGCACTCCATCTGAATATAGTGTCCCACCCGACTGGTGCCGCAAGTGTCGGCGATCGGATGCGTGTGTGCGCGCGCGTGCATGTGTGTTTGCGTGTGTGTTTATGTATCACCCGGGCCCTAGGCCGTTCGCTGCTGCCATTTGTGAACGTGTGTAACATGTGTGCGCTTCGGAGTGTTTAACGCTAACCGCGCGATCGGAGAGAGACGGCCCGAGTCGTGGCGGGCTCGGGCGGCCAGCCGGGTCAATCTATTTATCGAGCCGCGCCGGCCGGTGTGTGGACGGCGCGTGCAGTGCCAGTGGACTGGGCAGAGGTGCGCTGACGGCGGCGTCACATCACGTCACGGAGCGCCCCGTGACGCCGGGGTGTGTGACGCAGCCGCCCGCTCCGGGGACCCGGGGTCGGCTGTCCCGGGTCTTCCTGTGTGTGGGGGCGGGACAGGGGCGATACGGGGAGGTTTTCACAGATCAGTACCGCCCCGGTCTCCGGCCTCCCTGTGATGTGAGCGCCGTGCCGTACAGTGAGCCCTTTAGTTTCCAATGTATGGCGTCAATAAACCCTTTAAAAATTCACCTTCTTCTTTATGACGACGTTTCCAGAGTATTAAGTGTGAGAAATGAAACGACGAAAAGTAAGCGTTGGAACGCTGAAGCTGAGCAGGCAGGGGCGGTATCTCAAGGGTCGTGAGGTCCCGGGTTCAATTCCCAGTGCCGGCCGGCCACTAGACTGTCGTCCTGAGCTGTGCCGCCGGCACTGCACGCTGGGCCGGCGGACCGGAAAAGCGCTAGAAATACCCCCAAGAGTGACTTTCCACACTATGAACAAAATATGTATCATTCGATCCCAAATTGATCAAAGCATACGATTCTGATGCCATTTTTGCCCTAAGGTCGAAATTGAGGTGGTCAGTTGTCACCAAACACAAGACTATTTAGACCCGCTAGTGGCCACCACATTCGCCGATTTTAATGCCAATCTTTAGTTGATATTTATTAGTTGACCAGTTGTCGTTTTGAACGCAATTTTCTGTCAGACTAGTTCAGGGCACTGTTGTTCACTGTACCAACAACATTCTTACATATTGCATCGCTTTTCTGCAAGATAAGCTAGCTTTTTGCAAGCAGCTGCAAGACCTAAATAAAAATCATATCTAAATTTTTAAATCGACTTTTATAAAAACGTTATTTCGAGCGGCTAAAAATGAACATCTTATACTAGCCTCTGATTACTCATCTTTCGTTCCATATAGGTGCTTTGCTGCTTTTCCCTGCTACTTTTCGAGATATGCGCCAGTAAACCACATGATGTAGGGGCAATTGTCACCTCGCCGCTCTACTGACGGCCCGGCGCTCTTTAAAGCGCCGAAATTTATGAAAAACGAATGTTTATAATCTGAATAAAATATATATCCCTTAGCTCAGAATTGATCAACGCACACAATGCTGTCAAAATTTTTGGGCCAAAGTCAATAATTAAGTCATTATGAACCCCGAAACACAAGTCAGTGATAATCAACAACAACGTGCTCTTTAGTTAGACTTTTTTTAGAAATGTTATTTCGAGCCGCTAAAGATGAGCATGTCATGCAAACAACTAGTCAATTGTCTGCCATGCCCTATTAACGATTATTGCCTATTACTGCTACTTTTCGGGATATCGTCTGCTAAGTCACCTGATATAGCTGCTATGCCACCCTACCGCGGTAGGGTGGCATAGCAGCTATATCAGGTATAGCAGCTATATCGCAGCTATATCGTCTGCTAAGTCACCTGATATAGCTGCTATGCCACCCTACCGCGGTAGGGTGGCATAGCAGCTATATCAGGTATCATAGCAGCTATACCTGATATAGCTGCTATGCCACCCTACCGCGGTAGGGTGGCATAGCAGCTATATCAGGTGACTAAGCAGATGATATCTCGAAAAGTAGCAGTAATAGGCAATAATCGTCAATAGGGCATGGCAGACAATTGACTAGTTGTTTGCATGACATGCTCATCTTTAGCGGCTCGAAATAACATTTCTCAAAAAGTCTAACTAAAGAGCAAGTTGTTGTTGATTATCACTGACTTGTGTTTCGGGGTTCATAATGACTTAATTATTGACTTTGGCCCAAAAATTTTGACAGCATTGTGTGCGTTGATCAATTCTGCGCTCAGGGACATATATTTTATTCAGATTATAAACTTTCGTTTTTCATAAATTTCAGCGCTTTAAAGAGCGCCGGGCCGTCAGTAGAGCGGCGAGGTGACAATTGCCCCTACATCATGTGGTTTACTGGCGCATATCTCGAAAAGTAGCAGGGAAAAGCAGCAAAGCACCTATATGGAACGAAAGATGAGTAATCAGAGGCTAGTATAAGATGTTCATTTTTAGCCGCTCGAAATAACGTTTTTATAAAAGTCTATTTAAAAATTTAGATATGATTTTTATTATGGTCTTGCAGCTGCTTGCAAAAAGCTAGCTTATCTTGCAGAAAAGCGATGCAATATGCAAGAATGTTGTTGGTACAGTGAACAACAGTGCCCTGAACTAGTCTGACAGAAAATTGCGTTCAAAACGACAACTGGTCAACTAATAAATATCAACTAAAGATTAGCATTAAAATCGGCAAATGTGGTGGCCACTAGCGGGTCTAAATAGTCTTGTGTTTGGTGACAACTGACCACCTCAATTTCGACCTTAGAGCAAAAATGGCATCAGAATCGTATGCTTTGATCAATTTGGGATCGAATGATACATATTTTGTTCATATTGTGGAAAGTCACTCTTGGGGGTATTTCTAGCGCTTTTCCGGTCCGCCGGCCCAGCGTGCACTGGGGAAGGCTCTCATAATGTCTACGGTGGTCTCATTATAATGACTGGTAGGTATATCACTGCCGTTTAACGCTGACTGGATGAGATGAGATCGACATTTTTCACCACTGCTCGCACATGGACGTGAGGCTGCGAGAGTTAACCTTCGCCCCAGTGGGGGGGGGGGGCATATGTTACCACCCTGTCGCGTTTTTCGCGTGTGAATAAAAAACCGCGGCGCGTAGCGCCGCGCCGCTTGGGGTAGCTTTTGGTACATCAATTTTAGACAATGTGTGAAATTTTTGACCCCAGGTCATGTCAGGTCAGGTCACCAGGTCAAGTTAACTGACCAAGCCTTAAAAAAGTTTGCAATCATGTCCAGCCTGCAGTGTTTGTCAGAAAGGTTTTAAACTTGATGGATTGCATGCTGTTATGGGCGCCTACAATTTGTATATCTCGGATTTTTTATATCCGTGACCTAAGGTCAGGTCAGTGGCGTGACCTTTCCATTACAAGTCAATGGAGAAAAATGAAAATGCCTCTAGATCCGTGTGTACGCATAGCAACAGTCCAAATATTTCAGAATCACAATGATTTAGTCCACTCGTGATGACCAAGGTGTCATTTTTGCTGATAGCCTCTAGAAAGGTCATCCGAGGTCATTTGAGGCTACAAACAGTTTTTTGCCAATAACTCGCGATTGGAAAGAGATAGAACGCTGGGGATGGTCTCATTGTGTTTGTCTTGTTGAGACGCATCGACTGATATGCAATGTGACCTTTTCCAGTCAGGTCATGACCTTGACCTGAGGTCAAATTTTCAAGTTGATCTTTCAAGGTCAAATTATAGTCCATTCGACGTGTCTCGGTGAGGGGAACACGATTCTGGCAATAGAAATGTCGTGGCTTTTTGTAGTCGAAAGTTATTGTCGAAAAACACTTTTCGTAAAAACAGCTATTTTGGGAGATTTTGCCCTCTGGAGGCTAAACCGCCTCAGGTCAATATTGATAATGACCTTTTCAAAAGAAGAGTTCAAAAGCCATCGATTGCTCTTCCATGCGTTTTTCTAGCTACCATAGTTCCTGAGATAGCGGCATGTTTTCTGAAAAATATAATGACAATTGGCAAATTTTGACCTTTGATGACCTCTGGTGACAACAATATTGCTCTAAGGTGAAAAATGACCGAAATACTTTCAAACGTACGCATTAAGAGCTATCGACTGCTTTTTACCGCGTCTTTCTAGCCCTCTTAGTTTTTTATTTAGAGGTGGGTGGTAACATACATACATGTATGACATACATGTATGCCCCCCCCCCCCCCCACTAGGGCGAAGTTGGCCGAGACCGCCACTGGGGCGCGGGTTATCAGGTACATTACACATAGGGAATCATATTCCCAACTGCAGCTTCGATTGCCCGTAAGGAAATCCAGAGTTAGCATTGCCCGGAAAACGCCAAATCACTCGCGGGTGTCACCTAGTCGTACTGCTCAGTGATAACAATGATAATTCATAAGTGAACGTACTGACATACGGTCATCTCCGGTCGGTGAAACATGCACAATTAAGTCTTGTAAATAGAGGCAATGACCGGTGACTTCTTACCAGCCGTTTGGTACCATTGCCGCTCACTTTCACTTAGTGGACCAGAACGTTCCACGACTTTAAGTCTACGTGGTTTTAAATTGCATGCTCCAGTGTATCACACGCGGAATGAGTTTCTATGAATGCAATCCAATGCACGCTGTAAACAAACGTGTGCTAGTGCGCCTCTGAAAGAAACTACTTACGTTAGAAGCGCCGCGTGTGAAATAATTAATAGGCCTCGTTAGTGTCTTATCAATGTCACCCTAACCAACTATTCCTAATATGATTGATCCACGTATACGTGGATCCCTCCTATAGGAGGGACATGCCTGCACAGAAGACATCCGCACCTGCCTTCCCATAATGACATTTCCATAGATGAATTGCGTTATGACTGATGGCAGAAGCTCTAGGCAAAAACAATCTCCAGCTAGAAAAGACCGCCTTTCACCAGCTATTCCCCTATTCCATTGTCAGAAAGCTTCAACGTCGTTACGTTGCACATTACACATTATTTACGAGTATAATCACATATGGTGTTTTTTTTAGCACAGTAAATAAACGTCCGACAATCATTCGAAAATCAAGCTGCAATTACGTTTAATAATAGTCGCAGTCCCGGCAACAATCGACGGGACTTAATCGTTCGAAAATGGAAACATGTTTCGTTCAGCTATGAATGCGACCTAATCATAAAAATCGCATGTCAGTTAGAAAAGATATGCATAAGCTACACCACTTCATACGAAAACGGACAGCGCCATTGACAAAGAATGTGAAATAATTGAGATTTTGTCTATTCTTCAGTCAGAGTCTCATGGTCCGTTTTACAGCCGCTCAATGTCCGCATCTTTGACACCGCCACCCAGTCGCAGTCTGGTCACCAGATTGTTAGCTCGACCAGTCTCTATGCTTCAGACTAGCATCTCCGCCTCACCAGAGCTCGGGCACCACCAGCTGTTTGACAAACTCGGCGTAGCGGACCCGGCCGGTCTCCGAGGATGGCACCGCGGACAGCATCTCCTCCACCTCCTCCTGGCTGAAGTGTTCACCCTCCTCGGTCAGAATGTGCACCAGCTTGTCCTGCGGCAGCGTGTCCTTCTCCTCTTCCTTCTTCTCCCGCTTGGGGCCGGCGCGGGCCTCCTCCTGGGCGGCACAGTCCTCGGCCAACACCTGGGAAGAAGTATGCCGCTCAGATGCTTGTTACAAAGCACAAACGCTATAGGTATCGGCTGTCGGTTTCATATAGGGTCTGTTCCAGTCGCACTTCCTAACACGTCTAAACTCCTCCAAGAGCAAGATAGAGGAGGTTGGAGCAGGGCTCTCCTTGACTTTGTAGGGGCTAGAGCTGCCACTGGAACAGGGAAGCAGTCTTGGAGGAGTTTAGAGATGTTAGGAAGTGCGACTGGAACAGACCCATAGACAACACTCAATTATCAATTTACGTGTACAATACCAACAACGTAGATGCTGTATTATTTACCAATATCCACACTGCAGTTATTTATCGCGGAAACGGATAATCCGAAGCTGAAACGCCGTCCCCAATGGCCCCTATACTGTAAGGTAGGCTGTACCGCAAGGCACCGGAGTATGCCGGCACAGCTGCCTCATGACGTTACACATTTCCATACTCCTGAGCAGAAGCCCAGCAGGATAACAACATAAATTTACCAATTCTACCGTATATAAAAACATAATCTTTTTATCTATGGAAACGCACTATGGGCGTCCACATCAAAGAAAAGCTGGCCACACTGTGCACCATGCCATCTGACCTGGAAGGCCTGCAGCAGTTGTTCGGTGGACGCGGACGGATATTTTCTGTCCTCGACACACTGGATAATGTAGGGCATCACGGTCTGCAGTCGGATGAAGCCCGGCTGGCCCTCTTCCTCCAGCTGGGTGACCATTTCCTGCAGTTCGGTCTCGCTGGGACAGCAGCCCACCGACCTGATGAGGGTGCCCAGCTCGTGGACGTCCACTCGGCCCGTCTGTTCCGTGTCCAACGCCTGTGGACAGGGTGGATTAGGACAGAGGGGCTATAAACAGGGTGCAGATGGACAGAGAGACGGTGAACAGAGGCGGTAGCGTACAGCAGCATTATGCCAATTGACAACCGTCAGCGACATAGCCACAGGGCGACTGTGAGAAATACAACTCGAACCGCGGACACGCTGAGCAAATTTAACAGTTGACATTTAATAAGCACCATAGTAAGTCAGAAACCATAAATAAATTCCTAAAAATCAGCCCTAAAATCAGTTCAGCTCACCTCGAACAGTTTGGTGATGCGCCGCTCCAGGTGGGCCGTGAACGGGTCGTACTCCTTGACGTCCCTCTGTCGGAACACGCTGCGTGCCGAGTGGACCACCTTCACCAGCTGCGGCACCGGCTCCTCCTCCGGCGGCGGCTGGTCGGTGGGAGCCTGGTCCCCGCCCGCCCCGGTAGTCGTCTCCGCGCCCGGCGCACCCTGCTCTGGTCCTGCGGCCGGCGCCGGGGCGGCCTCACCCGAATCCGGGGCCTCGGCTGGCTCTGTTTTCACCTCATCGGCTGGTGCGGCGCTGGGAGACGGTTTCGGCGCGGTGGAGACAGATGCGGCGGACGCTGCTTCCGCCGCCTCCGCCGGGGCCGCTGCCAAAGTCGACTGTGATGCCTGTTCGGGCCCATTCGACTCTTTCTTCACGGGAATATTAGCAGTCGAGCCGGGTGTTGTTACGTCCTAAAACAAGGAGACGTTATCATGATAAAAGGTAAAATCATGATCTGACATTAACAGCTTATTTTGTGGCCCTTGAAGTAGCTTCCCATATAAAACATCGTTGTGTACATACGTGGCAAAAACGGCCATAGCGAAAGGCATTTCGTGCATATTACCAAGCGGTCAACTATGATTACAGAAATGCAGTAAAATCCTATAAAAATGATGACGCCTAGAAAAGCATAAATATCCTTACATCACCCCTGACTAAAACAGTAGCGCAGAACACGAAAATGTGCATGACTTACCCCAGTTGGTGTCTGAGCCTCCGTCGGTTGTGCTTCTGGTCCCGTATCTATTTTCTGGTTACTCATTTCGTATCACCGGGGTTGTAACAAAAAGGCCTTTGACAATTAATTTTCGAGCTTTATGTTCTATTAATGTTTGACCTTTCGCACGGGGTAGCTAGTGAATGTAGGGTGGTTTGGGTGAGTTTCACGCTCTTCCTGCAGCCACCGTGAATACTTGTAACGCCGGCCCGGCTGCGCGGCACGGCACCACGCGGCATTATCAATTAAACAGACGTGTTGCCATGGCAACTGACCCTCTATGTGGCCGAGGTTCCGGGGGAACCGGGGGAACTGTCGACTATCCACAATCCGCATAACATTCAGCGACTGATTATGATGAAATGGTACGACGAAGAAGCCACTGATAATTTTGCAACAAATGAATACAAGATGGCAAAATGTGGCAAAAGGTGAAACACCTAAATAAATGTTTCATTTTAATTCAAAAGGAAAAATTTCATGTATCCTAACCAAGATTTGATGTTTAATTAGATATAGACTCCAAATATGCACTTTATCTTGTTCACATGATCCCGTTATATACTGTTCTTAATTTTTATGGCGAGTTTTTTTATGTTTTTTATTACCTATACCTAATCTAAATCATGCTTCAGGCCTTCTATCCCAGTTATTTTCCACTCAGACTCGGACAAAAGAATTATCTTTGGTGGAAAAGCCTCCCTGCACTACATTTTCCATCGGCTTCGGGCTGGGCTGCAGTGGCTGCCGGCTGGTCAATGCGTGCAGGTGGAGTCTAGGTACCTACAATGATGGAAACGCACTGTACGGCGATGATTTATGGTCTTATCTCTGCCAGCTTTATTTGATTTATGGCCCATATTCTCTGTGTTCTTACGTTTCAACGTTAGTTTCATCCACGAGCAGTCTCACGGCGAAATCGATTACTATTGAATTTGATATTGCTTGTGCGAAAAGCGAGAAAACGGAGAAGGGGAGAGAAAGAGAGAGAGAGGGAGAGAGAGAGAGGGAGAGAGAGAGAGAGAGAGAGAGGGAGCGAGAGAGAGAGAGAGAGAGAGAGGCGGGGCGGAGGGGAGGAGAAAAAAAGAGAAAATATTTCATCCAAACCGCGAACACACTTTTTCCCCAAGGGAACCATGATTGTTAATACACAATCGCATGCTAATTGCTCGTTTTTCAAATTATAAACTACCATGTGTCCCCATTCAGAGCCCATAAATCTCAATTCAGGACGAATACTGAAAGTCCAGCTTCCCTAAGCGTCACAAATTAATAGCTGTAGACTCTCGACTAAGTAAACGGTTGGTAATGCAATACTTCGTAAAATAAAATGTCTTCCTCGTTGTGTCTGTCTGCAACTCAGTACCTTCTCCGACCCTTGCGGGAGTGTGGAAGCTCAGACAAAGTGAGGGGAACAAAGCTTTGACTTCAATTTGTGGAGAAAAAAGTAACTGAGGACATTTATTTACAGTTTTATGTTCAATGTGGATCTCTTCGACCTGAATCTTCCTGGACCAAAATTTTATTTTTGAGAAAGGGCTAAAGTTTAAGCTAGCATGCGGCTGGAAACTGGAACGACCATGGCCTCCCTTCCCTTCCCATCGGTCCCAGCACCTAGGGCCCGGGGCTCGGCCGGTAAAACATAGGACATTCGATCATGCAAGCTCGGATCCCAGGAGTTCTGGTATTCGATTCGAGCAAACTTGATTAATGATTATTCATCAAACATGTGTGCGGAGTGCAGGCACGAGGAGTACCTTGTTTGTACATTACGAACATTTGTAAAATATGCAAGATATTTTTTTCCACGAACAGCGCCTCACAAAATATATTTTGCGATTTATACCCTTCAGCTATTTTGAGAAGCAGCTGACACGATCATTTCGCAAAGCGCTTCAGACTGCAGAGGTAAAGCGATTGCCAATAAAGTTTCATTATTGGTCATGGGCTCTTAATTTCTGGGGTCGCATCATGTTTGTACAGATACATAGTTAACCTTGACCGTGGTTGAATGAGTGTGCCGTAAGATATCGATTGTCCTAAGGTCCAGAGCATTGCCCTCGTACTAACTGATTGAAAGACCTCTGAGAACGTAGCGCCGTGATGGTTTCCAGACGAAGCGGACCAAATATAGGTACATTTTACCGTCGGTTCATTGGGCGGCTCTGGCCCACCTACAGAGCCTATGCTAGTGGCAGTACTTACTCTACCTACCGAGCTCCTGCCTCCCTAGCCATACTAACACTCAGCAACGGTTGGGTGAGCAGGACGAAAGTGACATCAATCGACTCAATGTTTTCAATTTCAAAAGCCGGTACAAAAATGACGATATTGCATTACAATGATGTCCTACAAAGGTCAACACTCAACAGCCCGATTTCACCTACTGCACCAATACGTTCTCATTCCAGTCCCCTAGAGGCTAATGAGACATTAGCCCTAGAGACGTTTGGTGAGAAGCTGGTGGAAATATTTAAACCGTTTTCACCTTTAGTTCAGCATAGTTCTGAACCGTAGCAGATCATGTGAACACTACATAATTCGCAATGGGATAGAAAGCACTACAGTTTTAGTAAGGACAGTCACCTTTGACGTTCCAAGACTGCAATAAGGCTGCAGTGGATGAAACTGTACGTTTTGCCCATTTCTCTTAAAAACTCACAACGCTAAGAGCCTGCAGTGAAATATAAATGCATCGTTGGGTGGAACGTCGCCTCAAGTGACTGTATTCACTTATGTTCCATGACATGCGAGGTCGATCATAACTTATCATTTAAAAAAGAAGTTATTTTACTGTTATTTTAGAGTATAGACTTGGAAAGTCAGCTTTGCTATATGGGTGTATAACGGCATCTCTCTGAAAAAAAAAATCCGATGACGTTTTTAAGATTTTCATTATATGCATAACCGCGTCAACGTTATACACTTGTATACGGCGTCAGCAACTTTCCAAACTAGCATCACGCTATGCTGCATCGGTCGCGGTGACGGAATATATTCGCGAAATGTAATATGTCACTTTAAATAGAGTATTTCACAATTCTAGCATTAGATACTCGGTTTTCTCATCACTACACATGCCTAAGGATATCATTAAACGCTGGAAGAGGCGTGACGTGCTTTAATTTCGTCTGGAACATCTCGGAAGTAATTTCACACAGACTATTTGAAAGCTAAAATCATGAGAACGCTGTGCTGAGCTGCTAGGGGTGGATAACACCGACCTAGGGCGCACGATACCTAATTTTGTCTGTGCCTGCCGCCTTTCGTGTGACGGTTGTTGTGGCTCCGTGGTTCAGACACAAGGTGCCGACGGCACCTCGTTAACTCTTGCCAAACTGCTTAAACTCGTTCCACCCGGGCACACGGTAATAGACAATCTCCTTCCAGCAATGTGTCGTGAACGGAGAGCATGCCCATTGGGAACTCGGAGTGATAAGGGAGAAAGCAATCATCTTCGTACTGAAAGTGGACAAGTTTTAAAGACATGACCGTTGTGAGTACTGGTAGTAACGTCTGTCTCTCCTTCACATCAACATGCCTTTCAAACCTGTGAGCCCGTTGTAGGCTCAAGAAATGTGTACCTTTCTCTGAACTCCTTCATCAATGGCACACTAGCAACTACACACAAGCAAACCCTGCATACTAAGTTCCATAACTTCACGTTTTCTATTTTCATGTTCCGCCGTTATCAGAATTATAGCTGAAGGTAATTTAAGTGGAAAAAGTAAAGCCTTTTACTGTATGCCTGGCCTATTCAAATACATTAGCCTGAGGGGTGTGGTAATAACTGGTGTAAGCAAAGTGACCACGGTCAAAAACGAATTACCAAGTCAACATTTTGGGATGGCCTCGTTCAAAAAGTGGCTAAGAGCTTCGGTCTAGACAATTATTTTATCGTTGGCATACAGTAAAATACATACCAAACTCGGCCGGTGATAAATTTTCAAGACCTCAATCCTTACTGATTTTTTAACTCGGCCTTCGGCCTCGTTAAAAAATTCAGTAAGGACCTGGGTCTTGAAAATTTATTTACACCGGCCTCGTTCAGTATTGTTATATAACCCTCGCCGGACCTATTGGTTTTCTACATACGCGCCGGCCGAGGGGAGGGGGCGGGTACGACCCCCCCTCGCCGTTTCGCCCCTGGTGGAGCTAGCGCGTCGCGGAAAAAACGAGCGTGTGCGCCGTTACGAGACGCAGAGATTGGTACCCGATTTTAAGGTCCTAGGTCAACCTGTGACCTCTGAGGTCAGGTCAAGTGCCCCAAGGTACGGTTCAGTTTTTGGTGAATAACTTCGCAAAAAACGGCCGCAGAGCGCCGATTTTGGCGGCATCGTGTTCGCCTTGCTCAGGTGCGTCGAATGATATACTTATTGTTCGGGTCAGGTCAACTTGGGGTGTTGACCTCAGGTCAAGGTCAGGTCAGCACCCCCAGGTCACGAAGTTGGTCGAAAGAGGTCATGTCGCATATCATTCGATTCGGCAGGCCTTCCTGAGTCCATTGGTGGCTTTCCCGACTCGCTAGCTCAATTTGATCAAGAGTTATTGACGAAAAACTAATATGACCTTGATGACGTCATAAATGACGTCACGCAAGGTCAACATTGCAAAAGTGACGCATCTAACCTTGCAAGGAGTGCATCAAATCACGATTCTGTGTGCTTGAGATAGTTGGAGATCGTTCCCGGCGCCAGAATAGCAGTTTTCATTTTTCCCATTGACTTATAATGGTGAGGTCACGAAAATGACCTGACCTCATATGACCTTTAGGAAAAATCCGAGATATACAAGTTGTGGGACTCATAATTGATACTAGATCCTGCAAGTTTCATTTCCCTGTGACATCTCCTCTGGCAGTGAGGGCGTTGCGAAGTTGCAACATCTGAAGACCGTGCAGAGGTTCACTTATGACGTCATAGGTCAGTGACCTGACCTGACCCAAAAATGCGGTTGGTGTCAAAAGATCTGGCTTGGATCAAAGGTCAGGTATGCAAAGTTTCAGCTCTCTATCGCCAGCGTGCTCGGAGCCATCGCGAAAAAAAACCCTATGGTGGGACGGCACCCGCCCCCCCCCCCCTCGGCCGGCGAGGGTTAACCACAAAATGCCTGAACAAAGAAAGGTGTTTGTGCTTTTCTTTGTAAGTCAGTTTGAATATGAATGATTTTTTTCATTCGTGAGTCCTTGTGAATCCTTTCGAGAAAAAGTGTCGGAATAAGGTAATGAAAAAAAAAACGTAACATCTGTGACATTCCTACCATTCACTGTTTTTGCTTTAACGCATAAGGGCATATTTCCATGCTGACGAGCTAACGCATAGTATCTACAGGTAGTATCTGACCACGTAAGGCATAGTTAGGCATTTAATCAAATGCCCACATATCTGAGACATTCGAAATCTGACAACGCTTTACAGCAAAGCAGTTGAAATATTTACATAACGTTAGCTTTAAGGGTAAAATATATGGTCCATTTTTCATGGTGGAATTCTGTATTTTGCATGAGCGGGCAGACGGAATGGATTTTCTCTCCATAATGATGAAACAAAATCGGGATATGACTTAGAAAGCAAAGCTCTAAAAGAAAGATCGTTCTTGTTCTTCGTTCCGGGACTTGACGGTGCAATCCAATCAAATAATTCCTTCCCGCCAGTGCGAACGATCGGCGGCACATTAGGGGAATGGATTGATTATGTCAAGTGTACCATTCAGGCATCACTTTAATGTCTTCACTATCTGCCTCATAGCTGAACACTTCTGCCATGTACGCAGACATGTGAACGTTGGTCGGCGCATATTTTAATTGAAAGACTTTGATGTCAAAGCTCATGTCCTATAAGTAGGTACGCTAACCATTAAAAGTAGTCGTTTTAACCCTAGAACGCCTAGGGGGGGGGGTTGTATCAACCCCCCCCCCCTGAGGTTTTTTCGAAGTGCACGCTAAACGGCTTGTCGTAGCGGGCTGAAATTTTCAATACCCTCTGGGGCAACCTTTGCGCATCTTTTGCCGAAAAAAATTTGATCGGGTCATGTCAGGTCACGGAGTTATGACGTCATAAGAGGTACAGCCTCCGGCCGGATTTTCACAAACTGAGTGCCAACGCCCGAGGTTTCCTGCCGGTGGTACGAACATCGGTTGATGGATCGTGATGAAACTTCCCATGCATGTTGGGGCAAGTATTGGCTATCATATGGTATAAGAAATTTGACCGGGTCAGGTCAGGTCACGGAGCTATGACGTCACAAGAGGAACAGCGTCCGGTACTATTTTTGAAAAGCGCCCGAACCACTATTTTGCTAATTCTTGTCACCTCAATGGGAATATGCAGCAATATTAGCTTCTATAGGGAGCAAATGGACCTCCCAAATCCAAAAATACAATCAGATTTCAAAAATTTAAATTTTGATTTTTCGAATTTCTGCCGCCGACTGTGACCTTGCCGACTTCCGGCGCTCCCAACAGGGGCGCGGGAACTACTTTCCGACTGGGGGGGCACACCATAATAGAGATCAACCTAGGGTACCCCCAAATCTAGTTTTCTCACCGGTTTTAGGCCACTTATTTTTCACCCCTCGGCTTTTTCAACAAAAAAAGAAAACATTTGCAAAAAAAGTGTGGTATTCCGTCTCAAAGATGTGGGGGCACCGCCCCCACGGCCCCAGAGTTGGGGGGGCAAGCTGCCCCCACTGCCCCCCCGGCTCCCGCGCCTATGGCTCCCAACGCGCCATTTTTAGAGCTAGGGAAACGAAATACATACCAAACGATAGAGAATTGATCAAGGAACACGAAAGTGAAGGTTTCAAGTCGATATCTCCCACCGTTTTGCCGCAATCGCCGCCGAAAGTTGAAAAAGTCTATTTTTCCGAAAATTTGACCTTTGACCGGTCAAAAGTAGGTCAAATGTTGACCTAGGACCAAAAAATATACCACCAATCGCGAGATCTCGTTGAGAGCAATCCGTTGGTTTTTTCCGCTATGCTCTACGACCTTCCGTTTCGAAACGCCAGGGGGGGGGTCGTAACAACCCCCCCCCCCCTGGTCGTTCGTGTTATGAGAAATGGCCTGGTCGTGCGAGGGTTAAAAGGAATTGAGTGTTGAACAACCTTCATGGTGGCGTTCACAAGCAAAACAAGATCTTGTGATGTCATCAAGCGCAGTGACGCTCATTTTACAGGTCCAGGATCTATGATCTGGAATATCTCACACGTGGGTCTGCAGCGCGAGCCGCGTCGCCTGCCAGTTCCAGCTGGTCCCACACGTGTTCTGTCGTTTCGCTGAGTGCTAATACCAGCTAAATACGCCAGCTCGCCCACGCACCGTGCCGGTCGCCGATCAGAGGAGGTGGCCAGTCGCACTGAGACGGTCGATCGGCAAAGTGTTTCTCATACTGTCGAGTGTTGTGAATACATGCATCCTGACTAACGAAAGCAGAGTGCCGAGGCTATAGAGTGGGGCCCAGAGAAAATATTTTATGACTTTTAGGGTAAAAAGTGGTCCAAAGAGTCGTTTAGCTTCTGTTGCTAACAACGTGAATTTCAACACTGGATGGTATAGCCATTAAGCATTGAAAATCTTGCCTACAATTTGTGTCACAGACTCACAGCAGTGTAACAATGAGATTTATAGTACCTACAATTTGGCTGCGCAACGCAGAATGGGCAGGGTAGGTAAGCCGTGAGCAAAATGCAATGCACCTTGGCATTTCCGACGATTACATATGAAACAAGTCAAGGTAAAGAGCCGTGACGGGATCGATATGACATCGGCGTTATGTTTCAGAACATCATTCGATAAGGGACCACAGTCCACATCCCTGTGAACATTTCACGGAATGTCTCCGCTGGCAACAGCCTAGTTTCCAGTGTCAAGCTGTTAATTCACCCAAGGAGGTATAACACAAGGAGTAACACATGTTACAGTTAGTATGCGAAGTCCGTTAGTTTGCAACGCAACTAGTTTCGTTGCAAACTACCTGACAGGCCAGGTAGTTTGCAACGAAACTAGTTCCGTTGCAAACTAACTGACCGTCCAGTTAGTTTGCAAACTAACTAGTTAGGATGCAAACTACCTAGGTACGTTGCAAACTACCTAGTTACTTTGCAACGGAACTAGGTGTTTTGCAACGGAACTAGTTGTAATGCGAAATCGACGAGGCAGTGGCTCTATTTGTCGGTTATATTTAACTTTTATGTAAATTTTAACAACGGTTGTTAAAACAAAGCTGTGTTTTTCTAACGGGTGAGTGACACTAGACATACCTAAGAGTAGGACGGGTGGTCACATTTATGGATGAAACAGTGAATTAACCAGATGCGACTACATAATGTGACGATTCACTGGCTGATCTAACTAGTGGAGGGGCAGTTCCGGGGGCATTTTGCGATTTTGATTTTTTTTTTTGCGACACACACACCAGTCATTTTCATTTTGCAACACCAGTCACCACCGCCGCCGCACAGAACAGAACTAAACTGTATTGTCCCATGGTCCCATGGCCCGTGGTCCGGGGTAAGCGTGCGATCAAGAATCTGTCTCAACGGCCGACTCCTACTGCGACTTGACTAGCCAGGTGGCCTAGCGGTGCCGGGTCATTCGGTAACAGCCAATGACCAAAGGGCAGGTTGCGTCACAGACTGATCGGTTGTGAAGGTTGTGAAGCCAGTTGTGGAGCTCGTCAGCGGCGCGGTTCTGGAATATGCCGAAATCGGCAGCAGAACCTTTGTTTTCCGCTTATGTCTACGCATTTATGGTGATCACATCACTAGCGGTTCCAGAAAGATGGTCTTAAACGTTGCGGGAGACATAATCCCAAAAAGTTACTCCTAATTCACAAAACCTTTCGGATTTTGATTCCAACCCCTACACACGGCTGTGCAGTCTAAAACAAGTATTTGATTATAAAAGTTGTTCAGCTTTCGTTTCATTCTCATAATAAGTAAATATTTGTCGCTTTCGGGTGCTGCGTGGATGGCGGAGCGATTTCGGGCGCCCTCCCCCCTCCCCCTCTGGATCAGCCAGTGATCGTAACGTTATGTAGTCGAATCCGGTTAATTCACTGTTTCTTTCCTAAATGTGACCACCCGTCTTATGTCTAGTGTCACCCGTTAGAAAAACACAGCTTTGTTTTAACAACCGTTGTTAAACAACCGTTGTTAAAATTTACATAAAAGTTGAATATAACCGACAAATAGAGCCACTGCCTCGTCGATTTCGCATTACAACTAGTTCCGTTGCAACACACCTAGTTCCGTTGCAAAGTAACTAGGTAGTTTGCAACGTACCTAGGTAGTTTGCATCCTAACTAGTTAGTTTGCAAACTAACGGATTTCGCATACTAACTGTAACATACATATTGGAGACAGAAATAAATAAAACTGTGAATCTTACCTTACCATACCCAATTTCGTTCAAAATTTAGAGGCCACCTTGCCTGAAGGGAATCGTTCTTATCAAGCTCATGACAAGTCGAACTTCTCTAACTCTCATCAGATATCGTATCCTGATGTTTGTCCAGTGGGTATCTAGTCTTGATTTGAGCTGCTCCACAGTCGTTTGAGGCAAGCAGTTTCAATCATAGACGACCCTGACACTGAATGATTTCCTGCTTGGTCTGGTGTGGGCTCTGGGCTCCTGGACTTTCCGCGGATGGCCTCGAGTACAACCGTCCGTGGCAGATGCAAAGTAGTCTCTCGGAATCAGGTCGACACCTCCATGGAACAGCTGGTACATTTGGATCAGCTCGCCTTGTCGCCGACGGTAGAATATTGAAGGTAAGTTCTCATATCTTACTTTTTAATATTCGCGGTTGCACAACACAGCTAGTCAAATGCAGGTTTACTCTAACCCGTTTAAATAGTGGGTACTTACTGGTAAACAAAGATGAAAATCTAATAGCAGAAAGATACCTATTGTGGAAATCCAGTGACTATATTCAGTTGAGTGACATAAACACCAAAGAAAAAGCTCTTTCCAAGTTATAACTTTTGATTAGTTTACAGTCCCTAATTATAAGACAACAATAGCAGATTGTGGTGAATAAATGCCAAAAGCACGGAAAAACGTAACGACCAAGTAAGGCAGCCCTTTCATTCGCGCGTGGGAGTCACGGGGCCAATTTTCCGGGCCGTTGATTGGGCGAATGACGAGTGACGTCACAATTTCGGCCGGGAGGTGGTGGGCGGAGGAGTGCGCGGGCGGCCGACCGGCCCAGACTGCCACCGTGAGCCGGTGGCAAACGGCCGCCGTTGCTGCTCGGGTCAGGTCAGTCGCCGCTGGGAGAGAGGCGCCGCCGCGCCCCGTCCTCCGCCACCCGAGCGAGGCGCCGCCCGTCCAGAGCCGGCGGCGGCGCAGACAGCGGACAGCGGACAGCGGACAGTCGGGCAGACAGCGGCAGAATCGGACACAGCGGCACGGAGGGACCCAAAGACTCGGCTACAGACGGCGCAGCATGTACAGGTAAATGGGGGCAGGCTAGGGACTAAATGGAAATGATTGTTGGTTGTTGCAGAGAAACGTTTTCTCTTTACTCATTTTATGCAATCTACACAGCATATGTGTAAAAAGTATCGTTGATTGAATGTGCATTTTGGCATTTCGTCACTTATTACTCAAAATTAGCTACAAAAGAAAGAGGCCAACGACACATTACAATGTTATTCATTACACTATCGCAGCATGTTGAGGATTATCAATAGACAGGTGTGACATATTATAGTGCATGTATGTATGGCCTAAACTTTTGAATTCATTTTAAAAGGGGGAAAAACGCAAGAAATTACCCAACGTTTCGCATTTATTGCTTGGTCATGGGTCTTCGAGTGCGATTGTGACACTTTTGAATATACATATGTCACTATCGCAGCATGTTAGCCGGGCTACAATGAACAGCGATACAAAAAGCTGATGTGAAGACATAGTTATCTCATAGCTTCATTGTTTTAGTTCAGCTAATTTTGTATGGATATATTCCAAGAAAACAGCATGCCCCTAATTAACCCCCGCCGGGGCGGTGCTCGGCACCACCCACGCCGGGCTGGAGGGGTTTGAACAATTCTCGTCTAACTCAGCTCCTACAGGCCACTTAGTGATCCGAGGTAAGCAGCGTTTGGAAAAGGGGAAAAAATCACGAGGAAAGCACTTTGGTCAATTTTAGGCCAGCTGACTATAGGCCATCAAAGAGGTATTGAGGGGTACATGGGTGCAATATTCCAATCCAATATGCCTTGTTTACCTGTTGTTCCGATGTTTGAGCGTTGAGTATGAATTTCGCCCAAAAGAAGCGCAGTTCAATCTTCTCCCATTGATTTATCTGTAATGGAAAGGTCACAAAACTGATGACGTTAAGGCACTGATATCGAGATTCCGAGATAAGCGTTTTATATGGCGAGCATCGGAAAGTTTTCTGAGGTAGTCATATATCGTGGCCCTGTGGCCTAGCCTTGAGCGACCTGGGGCTGACATTTTTACGTGTGTAAAAAGATGCATTAAAAAGGGTGCCAAGAACGGCAGCGTCACGCACAGTCGCTTTTGGGATATTTGTCGAAAACCCCAGGGGTCCAGCAGCCCCGTCATGGCGCGGGTTAAGTATCTAATACCAAACAAACGCATTAAGGGCGAACAGAGTTCTACACAGAAAGTAGGCACTGCTAAAACATAAGAACGCTGGAACAGAAGACGAATAAATCCGTAAGATCAAACCATTCTTAATCTTTCATTTTCATAGGTACACTGCTTGAGCATGAGAAAATGTTTTATTGTAGCGTTTAGCCCTAGCGGGATAAAATAATCAAAATGTTAAAGAAACGAGAAGTAATGATTGATTGAGGCATCATCAGGCGATGCCACATTACTGTAAAGGTGATGGGTGTGTGGGCTGAATTCGATTTCACGGTGGCCGATGTGATCAATAGCACTCAGAAGCTGAAACTATGGATAGAACAGTTGATCACTGCCAGTATAAACCAATTCATCTTCCTATTGCCGGAAAAAACATGTTGAGCCAAAACCACGATATTGAGTAGCCAGTGGTAAGCCTTTTAAATGCTGGTGTCACTTATCATGCGTTCCATAGGATCTGCAATTTCTTAACGCGAATGTAGTGCCACAATGTGTTTAGCTCGCAAACAAATAGGAACAAGCCGATCTCATCTAAATAGTTCAAAACTTCAAATATCGATTCGATGAAAGGTTTCCTTGGTGTTGTCACATTCAAGATTTCGCTAGAAACGCTTTGCTGTAAAAACGAGTCTTTCTCGTCACTTCCCCAAAAGCATTCTCACTTAACACCAGCATGTACAAATAAATATGCACCTTTCGCAGAGAAACGCGCATGTAACGCATGTGGACGGCGCTTCTCGGAGCTCAGGGCCGGTTCGGCCTCCTATATGTATTATGGTTATGTTTTAGTCGTAAGTGCAATCATCACATGATTCGTGGATGTTTTCACAGCTAGCGCCTAGCACATCTTTGAATGTAGCCAGGTCATCGCTAGCATATCAAAAGAGCACTGATTTGACTGTTACAATGAGCCGGAGGTCAGAAATTCCCGGGCACAGACACTTACGATTCTGTCGCTAGATGGCAGTGGTGGCGGGCGCCTGAGATGCAGACTGTGCCGCATGGCACACATCTCCGTCATTGGCGCCCACAGAGAGGCGTTGGAGGAATGCTTCCTCGCTCAGTGTTCAGACACTGCATATTGTATGTACATAGCACATACTTAGCACTTTTTTACCCGTATTTTCTTCTCGCTAGCTGATCGTAACGTAGCCAAACCATGCATGGTTTGCCGGAACTGGCCCACTCAAATGAGGCGAGTCATGGGGATGATTAATCGTGAAGATGATCAATCACTTAAAAATTGTTTAATCATGGCGAATAACAATAACTGACAAAGGACTACTCGCACGGAAATATAGATAACCAGACATATAAATAGTTAGAAATTCACGTTTTTCTTCCGACACCATATTGTTCCAACGGCTGACCGCAGCATTCTCACTTCAGATATGTTTAAAGGGACCCTCCCACCTTCAAAAAAGTTAATGAATTGGCATGAAAGTGATGTCGCTCGGTTCAGAAAGAGCAAAAACAAATATCTACCAAATTTCATCGAAAAATATTCACCGGTCTTCAAGATATTAGACTTTTACTTTTGTTTACTTTTTGGGATCTCCGCTGTTCCTAGCGACTTTATTTGAAAGTGCGGCATTTGTTGCGCGCAAAGTAGCGTATACCACCGCGTGCTACAAAACGTTTTAGTCAAACATTTAAAAATCCTTAGATATCTGCGCTGACGTCACACATTCAGAGGGGTATTCCTATGCATTAGCCCCTCTGAATCAAAATGCTGCAATTTTGAAATTCAATATTTCCGATTTAAGGCATTTCTCGATGTTGTGAGTGCCGAAACCGGTAATTGTGAGCCAGGGACCCCATTTTGGCTATCTCAACTCAAATTAGAGGTGGCAAAAGATGAAAATTTTGGGAACCAGACTCGAACCAGACCCGGCTGGACATTTCTGGAACCAGTCGGACCCGGTCTTTGTTGGAATCGGAACCAGTTGGACCCGTTCCCCAAAAGTCAATTAATGCAAACTACTTGTAGGTATCACTAGTTCCATCATGTAAAACAGCCTATTTCCCACTGGGAATACTCATGAGCTACTGTGTGCAAAGAAACATTCACTTCATATTTTGCAATAATGTGTAGTGTGCAAGGTGTAGAGTTTATGGTAGGACCCGGTTGGACCCGTCAGAAAATTTCCAGGAACCGGTCTGGACCCATATGGGTCCAGACTGGTTCCTTGGACCGGGTCCTCGGGTCCACATTTTGCCACCTCTAACTCAAATCTAATGTTAAGGTGGGAGGGTCCCTTTAAGTCTTCTCAAACGAACATCGTACGGCAGCAGAAACATCGATAAATCAATTCCACTATACAAGTCAGCGATATTTAATGAAAATCTGACGGCTGTCCAAACCTCGCCGAGCCGGCCGCCGTTCATATTTTACTGGCGGGTGGAGGAAAGGAGCGGCTAGAGTTCTTCACTGCAGTCGTCCCAAAGCTGGCCGTCAATATCGGCCGCTGAGCGGGGCCGCGGAGGCGATGGACAATGCAGTGCCACAAAGCCGATGCCACAGTCGCCTTCATGAACAGCAATGCGACTTCAAAGCGGTACCGGACAGGATTTCAGCGCTCGGGGTGATGTGGTAAATCTAGTTGATTATAAGGTTTGCTAGGAATTGGAGGCATCAAAAAGCTGAAGCTCAGGCTTTGAACATTTAAAGACGAGAATGTTTCCATTGCGATCACGTTTATTACGAAACTGAAGTGAAACCTGATACCAATGGAATTTCATAGCATGATACTTTATAGGAAAACTACAAATTAAGCCGGAAGGCTATAGCATGATCCAGCAAATCACCAACGGTTTAGTGTAAATAGATTATGATCACCTTAATAAAAAGAGAATGGTATCCATTGACAATTAAAGCAATATAAAATTAACCGAATCCAGCCAATCTTACCAATGCCGTAAATAGGATTTGGCAGCACTGGCCGGAGTTAACGGCACTGATATCAAAGATACCCTCTTTATTTGCATCCCGCTAATCTTGCCCAATGATTTTGCTGGCGTGAATGATTATGAATGTTGCCTGAACGAATGAATAAGTGAATGTGGAATAGTTCTGAATGTTACCAAATGCCGTGAATACGCATTCACGGCATTTGGTAAGATTGGGCTGAGTCGGCAGAATCTTAGCCGAAGTAAATTACATGACCGAGTTCTGGACGACAGTTTTAGCCTGCACCGCTGCATCAAGAACTGATATCGTCACCTCATAACCCATCCTAATCACAGACGCAGCGTATCGGCCAAGTTCGGGGCGTTGCTCCAGATAGTTGACTGGTTGTGATTCAGACGTCACGGCTCGTACCCGGACACTCGGCGACAATTTGTGGCCGCTGTCCGGGACGGCAGCTGTCCGGTGGTCACACCTGCCGCCGGGCCATCATCGGCAGTCGAAAACTTCTGCCAGCCGCTGCCGCTGATCCGGTTACTAGGCTGCCTGAGTCAGGCCAGGCTGGCTGCTGCTGTCTTAGGCTGCAAGAGCCAGGCTAGGTCGGCCTCTCCTGCCTGGGACCAGGCTGAGCCCGTGAGCCAGGATGGGCCACCCCGGTGGGCCAGGATGGGCTTTGATCGGCCGCTGTTCCTAGTCCAGCCTGGGACGCTCCTGTCCGTGGGTAATGTCAGGCAACTCTACCCTTACGACAGGCTAAGCCTAGATTCCTCTCGTAGGAACGATTCCCTTACAAGGTAAGGTGACTGTATATGTAGAGGAAATCTATCGGAGCACCAGAGACCGAAGACCAGCCGCAGCAGCAAACACAAACATGGTCCCCTACGAGCGACGATGGAACCTGATCTGATAATGACCTACAGAAACACCCTGTCCCTGGGCACAACGTGGCTCTGAGCTTAAATGCCTTCTGACTCGCCTAATGATACCATACATAACATTTCTCATCAGCTCCCTTGATCGATTTCTCATCAATTATCTGTCAGCTCTAATTTATCTATAAATAAGTTCTCTCATCAACTGGCACTTTTGCCTGCCTGCGCTGAGCGACTCAGAGTGGTGGGCGGACCACAGCTAGCCTTTCTGGTCAGTATGTTCGTCACTCGGGTGCATACACACATACTGCGGGCCGAGTCGAGTCAGTGTTCCCACCGACCTCGCCGCAACTGCCAGACTGATTACGGCCGGTAAATATTGACCCTGTCCGCGGAGCCGGCCCGGCCGCCCACCCCGCTCTGAGCGAGGCCGCGCCAGTCTGACCCGGGTCAGGTGTGGTCGGATTTCGGTGTCGACACCATGACCAATGGAAAAATGAAGATCTGTAGTTGCGGTGAAAAAGACCAACGGAGCGTGGGGGTGTGCACGGAATATATAGTCTACGACAGACTACATATTGCCGTAGACTATATATTCCGTGGTGTGCGTATGAATAGCAGGGCGGTACGGAGGTATGGTTTGGCCAGCCAGAGAGTGTGTTTAGAAGATAAACAATCGCGCATGTATACCCAACTGCTGCTGTCCCAAGGGGGAACTGACCTCGGGCTCTGTAAAGATGCTCAAGAAAAGAAAGCTATATTATTCTCAAACATTTACCTTCTACACAGTAGTCTATTCGGATGAAAGATCTGCTTCTATTCGGGTAGTTAGGCACTAGTGGTGCTAATCGGAACTTCAACCTTCGGAATTCCGATTTTTGTCCTATGTCCAATTCGGAATTTGGTTGGACAAAGGCAGCAGGCTTTCAAAAACATTAAAAAATCACTTGCTATGCCTCAGCATTTTTTCAAAGCATAATGTTGCATGGCATTGATTGGTGAAAAGAAAGCTCAGCTCTCGATATGATAAACACTTTTGGGCCGGTAACATTACATTAAAAGGAAATTAAATACCAAAGTTGGATCTTGTATGTATAAAACGTTGTTTTGACGTTTTACTTAAGCATTTACAACTACAATGTAAAGTCTTAATTATTGGGTAGTTTTTAAACATGTTTGGAGATCTTTGGACATTCTTATGGTAATAACTTCTAAAAAGTAGCATTTGCATTTTGCAAGCCAAACCGCCCATCAACGGGTATAAAATGCACGAGCCTAATGACCCGCTAATCTGCTTACCGTACGTGTTAGTACAGGATCAGAGTGAGATAAAACAACACGGTCACACGTGGCACACAGATCGGCATAAGATATACATATATCACCATTACGGAGTCAACAACGCCTACGGGCGTAGAAGGAATGCGGCGAGGCACCCGTCCACCGCTAATCCATGATAACGCTCAAACGGTTTTCTGATTAAGTTCGGCTAGAAATTACCAACCAAGAGAGGGGTGTAGGACAAAGTAACTATCCGCCCTAAGCATTTATAGACATTCAAAGGCCAAATCCCGACTTACTGTATACCAAAGACGGCTTTACATCCAAACCAAAACAACTGAGTCACATCTTTGTGACAGTTCGTCTTTGATTTCATTCTGGAAACTAATGGGAAGCGCTGTTGACCGACGACTTGTTGGGAACACACGTCACGACAGTCGCTGCTTTTAGGGTGTTCTGCTGACTCCTGCCTAGCCTCGAATCTGCGACGAAAATGGCAGTCACATAAGCCGTAATCAGATCAGTATTCGTCATACACAGAGAAGTCTGGGAATGGTGAAGTCGCACAGCTGGCAACAGCCACGGAGATTGTTTCCCTATTGTCTGTGTCAAGCGAGTATTTTTCCAAATTATCTGTTCGATCAAGCATTGGTATGCAAGTCATAGAGCCACACTTGGTGTTTGACCATACGGTGATTCGATTTCAACGCTGAGCGCATTCAGCAGTGACAGCGAAAACATAGCAGCACACGACTGCGAAACATTTCTTTAAATGAGTTTCTCAGTCATTTAGCGACACCTGTGCATTAGGCGCATCAGAAGCTCACGTCACGCTAAAATCGCATTTAGAACTCCAGGGAGAAGTGGAACGGTATCAAATTCTTGCAGAAATAATAAACTAAAAAGGTACATCAAAAGTTGAGCTGTAGAATAGTTGCAAAGACCGCTATAGCCCCGAGCATACGCCATACATGCGTGAGTGCCTGGTTCGACAGAGCAGCATCAACTGCTGGGGTGCTCTTCAGCAAGACGGTTACCCACCGGGCGCGGCTTATTTGCTGTTCAAACAAACTGACAACGTTCAAAGTTCAAACGACCTGTCCATTTGTCGCTCGTCGAGCGCGTCAAGTGGCGTTCTGAAAAGGTGCACAATGGGCTTGCTCACAAAATTCGATTAGTTGCCACCAAACTATCAACTATAAAAAGATCGAGTGAGCAGAACTCAGAATCGCATCAAGTAAATTCTGCCCAAGTCTTATGACACGACCTGCTCCATACCACATGCACTCTACACCTTTTTCCTTCAGTTTGAAAAAGTTGTAGCTCAATTTGAAAAAGATGTTATTCAATTTGAAAAAGATGAATTTCAATTTGAAAAAGATAAAATTCAATTTGAAATTAGATAAATTCAAGTTGAAAAAGCTGAAATTCAATTTGAAACAGATTAAGTTCAGTTTGAAAAGAAACCATGTTGAGTAACTTAGTAGGGGAAGGTGCCCAAATTGCTCCAACTTAATATACTTAGAAGTGTGGTAAGGGCATTTTTTATATCAAATTAATCAAATTACGAATTAGAAGACGTTAACCGACTCGTAAAGGTACTTCGGGGTACTTCGCTGGGTGCCTCGAGGAACACGACCTCCCGATGGGCGTTTAAGATGTCCCTGCTTAAGCTGCGGCTCTGCTGCACCACTGCACTGTTTTCAGCTTTGAAATGTGTGCCTGTGGCCGGGTCGCAGCGGGTCCGACTTCTGTCCGCTGGCAGAGTCGATTACCTGCCCATTCATTTCGATCTCTGTGTCATGGCATCAATACAGATACCAAACATTCGCTCGTTTCGTTACGTGGTACCTATTGCATAGAGGCATGCAAGTAAGTACTAAGAAGTGTGGTAAGGGCATTTTTTATATCAAATTAATCAAATTACGAATTAGAAGACGTTACCCGGCTCTCCATCCATCCCTTTACGAGTAATAGTACATTAAGTTAAGCATGGCGCAATTTGGGCACCTTCCCCTAATAAGTTACTCAACATGGTTTCTTTTCAAATTGAACTTTATCTGTTTCAAATTGAATTTCAGCTTTTTCAACTTGAATTTATTTCATTTCAAATTGAATTTTATCTTTTTCAAATTGAAATTCATCTTTTTCAAATTGAGCTACAACTTTTTCAAACTGAAGGAAAAAAGGTGTAGAACTCTACGTATACTGCGTTTGCAAATAAAATGGTAGGCTGCTAAGCACGAGTCTGTTCAGTTGAGTAATATGCGATGTCACTGTGCAATGTGCGTGCATCGCGATCCCACTACAGTGTCGGCATCTCACGCTTATGGTCAAAAATAGTCTTCGGATGACACAGCATGCCGGTGGCCTTCGTATTATTATGAATCGTCGTTCATCCAAGAAAGCCGATTGTCAAAAGTCAAAACTGTATGGTGGAGTGTGTTGTAAACGTCTGTCAAGTGTCAGCAGTCAACATGCCTATTTCGCTATGTTCCAGTGTCTGTGACTAGCATTATAGTTTGTCTGCTTGTGCTCCGTTGTCTGTGAGGAGCTGAATCTGACAGTCTATTCTGTCATCTGTCCGCTCTCAATACATGCCGTATAACAGCTCATTTCTAACTCGGACTTGTCCGTGTTCTAATGCTTTTGTCCACTCTGACAGTATGTCTTTCTGTCCGTGCTCTAGTGTCTTCGTCTAATCTGTCTCATGTCTGTGATGCAGCGTCCGTAGGCAGTCTAATCTGATACCAGTCTGTATGTGTTGCAATATCAGTCAGCAGTCTAATCTGACACCTGTCTGTGTTGCAACGTCTATCACACTTTCTGAAACACCTGTCATCTGACACCTGTCTGTCTGTGTTGCAGCGTCTGCCAGCTGGCCGGCCTGACAGTTTGCCTGCTGGCGGTGGTCGCTGCCCAAACTCTGCACGCACGACCACCGCGGATCGGCTTCCTGGCAATGCGCGGCAAAAGGAACGCCACTTGGCCGGAGAATGGCAGCGGCGACAGCGGCGGACCGCTGGTGGCCCGACACCGCCGCTTTACCTACCCACTGCACCGGCTCATGAGGCTGGATAACCTCTACGATGATCTGTACACACGCGCCGACCGCACGCCGTTCGGTTTCACCGGCCTTCGCGGAAAGAAGGCGCCGTCAGGCTTCGGAGGTCTGCGTGGTAAGAGGGTGTACAGCGGCTTCGGCGGGCTCAGGGGCAAGAAGGTGCCGTACGGCTTCAGCGGCATGCGAGGAAAGAAGGTGCCCGTGGGCTTCAGCGGTATGCGGGGGAAGAAGATTCCGAGCGGGTTCGGCGGTATGCGCGGAAAGAGGCCGACGGCTCGCTCCAGCGGGTCTGAAGGGAGTGAGATGGAGAGGACCCCGGCGTCGGCCGAGCGGCGCCTCACCAGCCGACTGATGGGGCTGGGCGGCCTCCGGAGTCAGCAGCTCGGCTCCAGCCGGCACCTGCTGCTCGCCGACGAGTGAAGGCACCGCAGAGCTACGTCGAACGGCGGTTCTCCGCCAGCTCGGCGCTTCAGTCCCGGCGACTACCGGCTCAGCGATACGTCACCAGTCCGGCGTGACGTTACATTTCATCCCGTGACGTCACAATATCTCTGACAGCCTCCGTCGCCGTTGTGATATCCTGTCTATCGGCGTTCTGAAATTGGATGCACGTTTGGGGAATCACGAATAAGCCGACGAGCAGCTTGCGTAAAAACGACGTCCGATGAGGAACATTTACCTGTATCCATGGACCATGAAGCAATGGCTTGGTGGCTGAAGAAGAGTTCTATTGCAAAACTATTTCCCCTTGAAAAGCGGCCTCCTCGCCATGCATGAATGTGAATTAGTCCGGCAGCAATGTGTTCAATTTGTTATCGGTGTTAAATTTCATGGTTTCTGTTTGCAGAAACCTGAATCCTGACAATTAATCAGGACAGACCCCTGCACGGTCCTCTTTCCATCGATAAGGGAAGGCACATTTTAGTTAGGGACCAGTCAGATGTTGACGCATCATCAGCCACAATTGAAGCCATAAAGGTGCAATGGAGATTTAGCTGGGTCTGGTTTGTTGTACTACTGTCACATGTTTCTGAACCGGGCCTGATCGTAATCTCGTCCGCCACCGCCACCGACGTCGCCGGGGACGTCTCTCAGGCCCTCACTGTGGCACCGCAGAGGCTGGCGGTCCACTGTGATTCTGTGAGAGACGTGAGCCTGGCAGCGGCGGGTCTGATAGGTACCGGCGCCGCCTCTCCAACGGGGCAGCGTCGGCACATTCCACTCGCGTTCCCCGTCCGTCGTCCGCTCGCCAGTCCGGCGGACGGACAGACAGACCCGGAGCCCGAGGCGGACAGACTGACCGGCCCGGCGCCCGAGTTCTGATATGATACACGGAGATTGACGTGGCTGAGGGGCGGAGGCAGGGATCACGTTTACCGCCCGTACTGGCCACTCGGAGCGGACAGATCCGCACGGCCCGGCTATCGGGCTACGCCCTGGGGCTGGATGATGCCGGGCCAAAGACGGATCCAAATCCGGCTGAACCAAAGGCAATTCAGCCTCAAGGTCGACGAATAGGCTAAATGGCACTACGTAAAAGTTCAACGTAAAACAATAACAAAGGCGGCTACTGTTATATCAACACATCAAAGCTTTGGCCAAAGATATCTTCAATAACTTTCCTTGTTAGCATAGCATATTGCTGAGAATAGGCATGCAACTGAGATATGCATTACGGAGCTATGCAAATGGCAAGGGGATAGATACTGCATGTATGTGGTAAAATGATGTAAATAACAATTTCAACCAATTATGCTGTCCGCCACACCCCGACAAGTTTTTGCCTGAAACGACCATCGGAAACTGAAAGGCCATTCATTCCTTTTCTACTACCGCCTGAAACTCTTTGATTGACATGTCCCAGCAAATAAAAATATCCAGGAAAAATAAAATATTAGCTTACAAACAGGTAATGTATTGATGAGCATTGTTCAGCATTCAACTTTCATATGACAGTACCTATGTCAGTGCTGCTTTAAAAAGTAGACGGAGACGCCTTGTACCGTTGAATTTGTTACATGTACGTCGTACAGTCACGACTGATAACTGATGCAACATGTAATTCGACATCCTGTTGCATAAAGAAATGAAGGATCTACAGCAGCTTTCACGATGCTTCTTCGGTAGCTCGGCAGGAACCCCTGTTGTGATTTTAGCGAATGACTTGTTACCGCATACGTGTTGTTGATGTAAAACGTCGTCCTACTCTATTTCCGCGTCATACTGTCACGAACCGAAAGATAGACAAGACCACTCAGCAGAGTGATGGGCAAAGTCCCTGGCCCTCCACATGAGTCGGCCTGTCTGTGTGTTTATGTTTTCTGAATGCAAATACGTGGATCAATACATCGAGGCTGGAGCACGTCAGTATTTGAGTTTGAGAGAGAAACAGTAACCAGCGACTGACGAAACGATCGAGTAAACAGCTCGGACAAAGTTGGGAGACTGGAGTCAACAGCTGACGGTCACAACAGCACGAGACTCTCTTCACAGCACATCTTCAGCGACAGACAAGGGATGCTTGCATGGCGCGTGAAAGTTCCACACGCATGGTCGGAGTGACGGCAGGCAGACATCGATTAATAACGTAAGGGAGGGGGTGTGGGCACTGGACATTTACAACTCGAGTAAGTCATTGCCACACTGTTGACGGTACAGGGATTCAGAACACAGTACAATACAGACGTTAAAACCAGTGTCAGGTCATAATTTGACAAAAGGTTGTAGATGTTGTAATTTTGAATTCACCTTATCTTCGTTTCTATAAAGCCATAACAAAATACGGATGATTTTTTCCTGTAATAGTCCATCGGAATACAAAACGTAAAGAACGAAAAAGAGACCACAGTAAAACGTTGACCCAAATGACCGGTGACGATGGCCCAGGTAAGCCCGAGATGATGAACTAGGGCGTGACGATGAACAGTGACGATGGTCATAGGTAAACCAGAGACGATGGTCCAGCCAGGCGACCAGGTGACTGTTAATGACCAGTGAATGGCGCCCATTAATCGACGGTCCGTTGATCGTTACCGGACGAACGAGGCACACCCGGCCGGCGACGCAGATGGGTGGTGACAACGGCCCACCGTACCACGGGGAGACGGCACGCCCCGCGTGACGTCATACACGCACCGCCGTGTGACGTCATATACGACAGTGTGGCGTCCAGCGCCATGCATTATGCATATATATCAGAAGGATGAAAAAGCCATCGAACAATATTTTGAGCTTAGGTGAAGGTTATTGCTTGATTAGGCTCCAGAGGGACGAAATGGACGCTGTCATGAGTGCGAACAACGTTGTCTGAATTTCGAAAACCACAGTCGGCTCATCACTTAACAATGTCAGGCTAATTAATCTCGCACATATTAGAAGAGAAAATATTCACATGCAGGGAAAATTGCGAATTTTCAACAAATTATGGGTTTGGGTATTGAGCTTTAAGGCGCACCGACTGCATGGGTCATTTTGCACTAATTTTCATCAATTTCGGACGCTTCGACGGGGCATATGCTCCTAGCCTCCTAATGCCCCCACTCCTAGAATTTGCCAGTGAAAACGTTGAGTCGTCGTATAAAATTATAACTTCACTGTCCTATATGACGCCACACGGCGGTGCGTGTATGACGTCACGTCGGGCGGGCTGTCTCACCATGGTACGAACAGAGGATTTTTTTTTATAATTTAGTCCGTATCTTATGAAAGGAGGGATTCACAAGGACAGAGCCCCCGCTAAGGAGAACTTGCTGCGTTGGCCCTGCCCTCCACCCTCCGATCGCCCAATTCCCGTCTATGGCAGAATTTAGAGTCCAAAGTTTAACGTACACACATAGCAGCGTACAGCCGGTCCCCTCGCTGACTTGAGCTGGCTACGGCCTGCCACCAACCGCAACCATACCTGTCAGGGGCCGATTTCACCAAGTGAATATATTCTTGGTGTACTTTGGAAAAGTACACCGACAAAGTACGACGACAATACTATTCGGTTTCACCACAGGAATATATTCACTACGCCCGCTTTACGTAGTTTGAGAGCCACCGGCGCGCATGCATACATCTTGTCGGGGACATGCAGACATTTGTCGGGGACATTTGCTGATCATACAAGAGGAAGTGCCTAAGGAAATATTGCTAATAATGCTCTTGATTTTTGCTCGGAGCATGACATTCCAAAGCCAAAATGTAAACAATCGGCAGCAAGCCGCGCAGCACAGTTGAAGTTACTGGCGTGTGTGGGTTTTATTGGATTTTGAATTAACATTAATTTTTTCTTCCAAGTTACTTCTCATTAAATGTTGCTTTAATATTTGTTCACATCTTCTACGCAATTCTGGAGTGGTTTAGAGCAAATATAAATAAAGCCGAACAATAAATGGCATTACATGAGGCACCTATCTAACTACCGATCACTGATGGTAGCAATTGGAGCACGGCCGACTAGCCGACAAGTTATCTGAAATATTACCTGAATCAAGTTTTTAAATAATCGAAGGGTCTACCGACGACTTCAAATATGGAGAATATTTCGGAATCATTCTCTGGACCTAAACGGAAGCGGGAAGCCGGTGATAAATTGCATCATTTGGCCACAACACAAGAGAAATATGGATACTGCAAAGAAATAGTAAAAGTGGGCGATGAAAACGAATGTAATGAAGCGTTGTGACTTGTGATGCAACATGCTGGGCATGTCAATCAAGGCGTTGCTAGACTGGACTTCAGTTCTTCCTCTCGCCCTCGCCAGCTATTTACTTTCTCTTCGGTAAAACGCTGTATAAAGAGCACGGTGTAATAATCACGGTGAGAAAGATTTGAAACGCTTTTGGCCTTTTGTGTTATCAAAATACAATGTGAACTGTCGTTTTTTTTTTTTGGAAGTGGAAAACTCAATAATGTAATCGGGAATGCGAATGAAAAAGGGAATTCCCTGTTGTGTTTCTGCATGATGGGGTGATTTTAATCGCAGTGATGCCACGATGAGATAAGCCTTATAAAAATAGCTGTTCTTGGGTTTAATTTCAATATAAGCCCTGACACACGATACCCTATATATCCAGCAAGAAATAACCATTATGACCTCTAAAACTTTTTGCGTAGCCAGTGGCATGTTTTTATCATACGTTGCATCGATGAAGTCATTAAATTTGTAACATTATCATACAAAAAATTGATGTATGCCAAGCTGTTTCTCAAAGTATGCCACAAAAAGTAGCATACTTTCAATGCCAGCAGACTCGGCAAACAGCTGTTGAAAAAGCAGATCGGCGTACCAGAAGTACCTCAAACGTAATAGCACGGAATATATAGTCTACGACGTTGTGCAGCAGCAGCTGTTAACACAGTGTGTCCAACGTGTAACAACAGCGGGATTCACTGTGCTAGCTACAACTTGTGACATGTCAAAGAACAACCAGGCGACCTACAGACTGCTCGGAGCTGCGGAAACCGGCTTGTTCACCGTGGACGGGCACGAGGTTGCTGCTCTGTATGACGTGCCTCACATCTTCAAATGCATACGAAATGCATTAATGAAATACGATATTGAAGTAGACGGTGAAGTAGCATCTTGGAGTCATTTAGAAACACTCTACGCACTGGAATGCGCTTCTTCCCCACGGGCTGCTCCAAAACTAAGCCAGAAACACATCAGGCCAAACAGCTTTGAAAAATGAAAGTCAGCTATGCCCTACAGGTGATGAGCCGGATAGTAGCAGCAGCAATCACATTGCATGCGACCCACGGCAAGCTCCCGCGCACTGCACTCCCGACTGCTACTCTCCTGCTGCGCCTCAACGACCTGCTCGATGTGCTAAACTCTTCCGCCCGGTTCGACCCCTGCTCAAAGCGACGCGCGATATCCAGCCTCCATCCAGCAACGGCGGGAGAACACATGCAGTTTCTTCAGGAGAGCGACGCCTGGATGCAGCGGTGGACGGTCGGTGGCGGCGCCAGCAGTGACTCCATTCGAGGAATGCGACAAACGATAAAAGGCGTGGTGAAAATCTGGGACTTGTGTCAGGCTGCTGGGTGCACGTTCCTGTGCACTCGCCGCTTAAACCAAGATCCAAGCTACTGAAAATGAAAGAGTTTATCTCGGCAAAAATATATATTAGGCACATACACGGTGCCTGTGTACCTACTTATAATGAAGAAACATTATGACAACGTTTGAAACGTTTAACACAACCCCTTCTCTAAATGCATTTATGAAACGTGAGTGGGCCAATAAAGGCAACTAGTTTGAACTGTAACAAAAAAGCACTTCTGGGCACGTAAATGGGGTAAATGTGGTAAAATGTGGTAAAATTCACCACCCCATATCGCCTCTACCGGAAACCCGTTTTAACCCCCGAAGGACATTGGCAATGGAGCAGAATCGTTCATGTTTATCAAAACAGCCGGCAACTTTCTATCGAAGCGAAAGGTTGGCTAGGACGAGAGTCATTGCTTTCACTGACTATGACAAACCTACTCGAACGGATTTTCACCTAGGAAGTTACCAAACGAATGTTGAAAAATACATCAGCACCATGAAAAAAACCTTACCCACCATCCTCAGCAACGCCGCCTCCCGCCGGCGTCCACCGGAAAAGGGCGGCAAACGAGCGAAGTTTAAATTGTCAGAAGTGATTCCAGACAGCAACACCTGATTAGAATAAAATGCACCTTCTCATATTGCCCCAGTACCCCGTTATGCCCCGCCTTCCCCTATTAGTTATAGGTCTGGCAACTATACTTTCATCCTCGTAAAGGAAGTAACCACAGCGAATCCGCACGACTAAATCATCAGGTCGCCAAAAACTCGGCAGTTACAGGAAATCTCGTTCTTGTCCATTCCATGTCGTAGACTATATATTCCGTGGTAATAGTATGCCAAAAAACGACGGACTTCTGCAGTCATAATTTGTCTTTGTCTTGAATAAGTATCCCTGTACCTTGCCCTGTACGGAGTTTGGTGAAACTGAATATGTCATAATACGAGGGGGTACCCAAAAGAAACGGGAATTGTTTCATATCTGTTTATTCACTGATCCCTACACATCGTCACTCATGTCATTCTTAAAGTACTCTCCCTGCGAGACAATGCACCTATGCAGACGCGTTTTCCAGCTCTCAAAGCAGCTCTGGAAGTCTTGCAAGGTGATGCCTTGCAGAGCCATCGTCGTTTTTCCTTTTACCTTATCAAAGTCGTCGAAATGTTTTCCCTTGAGGTCTTTTTCATTCTTGGGACCAGGAAAAGGTCACAGGGTGCCAAATCCGGTGAATAGGGAGGGTGGATCCGTGGGGTCATGCATTTTTTGTCCAAAATTGTCTGACACTCAAGGCGGTGTGCGCTGGCACACTGTCGCGATGAAATCACCACTCCCCGCTTCGCCACCTGTCGGGGAGTTTTCGTCTCACCGTGTTTCACACACGCCGCAGAACGTCCAAGTAAAACGTCTGATTGGCAGTTTGACCAGGGAGGAACAATTTCCTTTTGTACACTTCCCTTTGCATCGAAAAAAACAAATCAGCATTGTCTTGACATTTGACTTCACTTGGCAAGCTTTTTTTGGGACGCTTTTGGGACAACATTGGACCACTTTGGAAGTGCGAAAATCATTCATAAACCCTCGTCTTGCTCACGGCAGCATATTTGTATGCTACTTGAAGCATTGGAACCGTTTCAGTCGCGGACTTCCCCAGCAGGAAACAAAATTGCACAGATGCGCGTTGTTGCTCAGTTCCGCTATGCATAAAAAACGACAGATCGGGAGGGAGTGCTTCAATAAATACGTGCGCCACGCGGCCGCGCCTCTTTATTTCGTCACCTCACGGTGCAGACTAAGTCCCAGGGGCCAGACTGGTTTGCCCCTAGCAGGGCAATGCCGAGCTACAACTGGCTTGGCCTACAGAGAACGATTCCCGTTACTTTTGGGTACCCCCTCGTATGCCAAAAGTGAATATGTACGCCGCCGTAATGGAATATATTCACTTGGTGAAATCGGGCCCAGGAGGGGGTTTGGGGTATTAAACATCGGGGGTATTAAACATCGGGCGCCCGTCGCACCTCGAACCACGGAATGTTGTAACCGGGACGCGTGCTCTCACCACGCGGGGTTCAACGCTCTACTGACTGATCTGCGGGACCGGCAGACCAGTAGGTAAATATAAAAGCCGTTAAAATATTGAATATGTATGTACTGAATTCTATCAATTCTCCCCAAAGACACAAAAAACAAACATTGCCATAAGTTCGCCGTTCGGATTAGATCAATTCGGGTAAAACATTTATCTTGTGCATTGCATCGTGTATAAGCTTATTCAATCGACTCTATTTCCAGCCTAGCTAATCGCAACTTACCTGTGTAACAGCGAACTGAGTTTCATTTCAAGCCTTCTTGGAGCACAATGCACGAGCGAAACGACTCAGCAATTGAGTTCCAAGTTGTTCTGGGTGTTCCGCTGGCATGCGATGATAAAACAGTGTTGTTATACAACTAAAGTTGATGATAGTTGCTCCGTCAGAGGCAAAACAATCATGTGTTTCAAGATGTGTACCAGTATAAGCCTCGTGTTAACTTAGTAGGCAGTTGTACAAGCCCTGATTAATGCAAGTAATTAATTCAGCCTGAAATTACTCCTCATCTTATCAGCATTCCCAGTATCCAGAGTTCCAGACGTCCTGGCTTTGCCGAATGAAGCCGAGACAGGCTCCATTCTTTGCATTCTTCATACTCGTATGTACGTAGATCACAGAGCCACCGTAGACCGCTCGTCCGCTTCTCACTGTATGTACAGTCTGTCTTAAAAGTACCGCGCAAAGTAACAGTGGATCCATCAAGCCTGACCGAGGAGGGGCCTGCTAAATTTGAGTCACCGAAGCAATTGACACCCTCGTCCATTCCCCAGGTCCATTGGTTCGTTGACTTTCATATTAAAGCAGGCCCGTCCTCGGTCAGGCTTGATGGATCCACCGTCACTTTGCCCGGTACTTCTAAGACAGACTGTACTTATCCGCAATGGTGTGCCCTCTTCACTCAGCGTCTGCGTGCCCGCAATGTCAATCATTATGCAAATCTACATTCTTATTTCTACACTAAGGCCATGCTTCCTCTCACAATTCCGCACTCCGTGGCCCTTCTCCTGTCACAATGTCCGCAATTCCAAACCTCTCTCGTCTGGCTATGTCCGCGCACTGTGTCCCTCTCCTCTCGCCAATCACTATATCCCCACTCCCTTCCCTCCTTAACTCATGTTCATGTCTATGCCATATCCTTTCTCAATGTCCGCACTTGTCTCTTCTTCAATGGGCGCAAAATGACCTTTGCAGTCGACGCGCCCTAAAACAAGCATACATAAATAAACGTCTCTCCTTCATGTTCGTGTCCCTTCCTCCCCCCATGTCCGAGTCCTTACTCTGTTTCTCTCTTCTCTCACAACGTCCGCAGCTCCGTGTCGTGTCCCTCTCCTCTCACCATGTCCGTACTTCATGTCCCTCCCTCTTAACATGTCCGCAACCCGCTTTCTCTCCCCCCCCCCCCCTCACAATGCCCGTCGCTCCATACCTACCCCTTCCTCTCCCATCCATCCACTCGCTGTCACCAGAAAACCAGTACCCATCGGTACCTACAGTGATCCCCGGTGTAGCCCTGTGACAGTCCGCTGTCACCGCCGGCCGCCAGCCGTCACCCCCGACCATGGTGTATGCAGGCGACGCGTCAGTGGCGATGGCAAGTAATCGAGTCAGGTGCTGTGGGACGTCCCAGCGGCTTCGGAGCATCAGACCCGCCATTAGGTCCACTAGCATTTTCAGAGCACGCCCCATTATCAATGACGGACTTCACAGCGAATGCCATGGGCTGATACTGACCGACTAAATAAGACATTTAGGGGTGTTAATAGACAAATACCGGGTTCCTGTAACGCTCGGGAACTAGCGATTTAACTAGTCCGATACATTGTAGGATGCAACAGTTGAAAGCCAACACAATCATAATAAAGAACGCAATTTTATAGTAAATGTTACCTACAATAATCTAGGATATAACAAAACTATAAAATAAATTCACTGTCCGGTCCACTCTCATGGTAGATCATATCGACAGCTAAGTCTGATCACCAGCTACAATGACTTGTTTTAGACTTGACGTGCTTTTCAAAAACAAAAATCAAAATCCGATTTTTTTTCATATTCTATAGATGGTATAAAAATGCACCAAACATGATTGAGAAAACTGTATTATGAAGCTGATGTAAAATGCTTGTATCAAAAACAGTACCGAAGATGCAAAGGGCACGACAACGTGCAAAGACCCATCACCAAAGCAACCCATATGAACGGGAAACAATCCATCACTCCTCGCCGCAACATACGCACCATTTCTACTATGGCACCGATCTGGAATATCGAGTATTGCACCTGGTTTCCGCAGTATCTGGAATAGCTCTTAGCCTCACAACCCTGGCCCTGTTCAACACTGGCCGTTAGTATCAAATGTCGCCAACAGATGACAGGGCTGACACACTGCGCGGGGCGCACGCGGCACGTGACTGCTCGTAAGAACCGACGTCACAAGGCCCCAATAACCACCACCAAAACAGCGACTGCTGCTGCTGCACCTCATGGCAGCACGTGACCGGGTCACGTGACTGCGGCGACCCGGCCCAGGTCAGGTCAGATCACTGGGCGCGGGCCGGCAGCACGACTCCGCGACACTCGCCGAAGCCCACCCGGAGGCCTTCCTTCTCGCACACACCTGCCGGACACACAGACACGCAGAAACAGTCAGTGTGGGAGAAACAGGCGCTCAACGCACGAGAGCTCGAGTGTTGCCAATTATGAGCTGTGCAACATTCAGAGTTCAGACCTGACATAATTTGTTGTTGAAACTACTACTGAGCAAAAAAAAAAATCAATAAAAAATCAGCATTCACAGAATAACAGATGACTAACTATGCACATACTTTTCGAGCTTAACCAAAAAAGCATGCAGCAGTTCACAATAAAATGCATACGCCATAAAACAATTAGGCAACTGGCTTACACTGAAAGAGCCTCTTACGTCATAAACATCATAAACAAACTACAGACATTCAAAGAAGCAAAAAAAAAAAACACGCACATCAAAACATCGGGATTCAGGTTAACCGGCAACGTGAGGTAGAGGAGGACGCAAGCCGAGGATTGGAGGTGGCACGCCGAGAAAATATAACGCTCTCTCGAGCCCGTTGGCCGGCTGAGAGGGCGATTCAGAACTCCGGAAACAATCTGCCCCCGTGTCAGCGGCGAATAGAACGAGTGTCAACAGTCGCCGCCCTCCCTCCTCCCCAAAACACTAACGCCGGCAAGTCTAGTCGCCGACATCTAGTTAGGTCGAAAAAAAAAACGGGGGCACCCAGACTCAGTCGTGCTCTCGCCCACAGCACATTGCCAGAACATCAATCTCATCTCACGGCATGGCATGCTCCGAGAGAAATAGCAGCCTATGAGTCCCATCCACCCACAATGCGACCCGCCGTCTCTATCCGGTCGGTCCACAAAAGGCAGGCGGCTCGGGTTCGAAGGCGCTAGTCACTGTCTGGGTAGGCTGTACCGCAGTGCACCGGACCATTGCGGATCAGTCTGCTCACCGCGAGAGAGATCACGGCTATGAGACCCAAAAACGCGAGAACCCTGCAAGGCATCCAGAAACGCGACATGCACTGGCAAGCAGGCCATGTGCCTGCCACCTGGCAGGTGTACCGTTTTCTCGGTAACAAAAGAACCTACACGCGGATAGCACCATGTCCCCGGCAACATACTGCTGATAGCGGGTCCGCCGCCGGTAAAGAAGCGGCGCGATTCGGTGTGACTCTGGCTAGGCGGAGGGCAGGGCCGTTCCCCAGAGGGCCATGTGTGGACATCTCATCTGGGACTGTGCCGTGACTGGAACTATAACCACCTGTGCCCCGGGCCGCCGGGTGAACGGGCGACACTCGTTCATCAGAGTCCCGTCCATCGCAGAGCCGTCAGTGACGGGGACGGAGGCGCTGAGACTGAGGAGGAATGACGGACAGAGACGGGATCAGACGGGATGGGGAGTGGTAGGGTAGTATAGGGGATGAGAGAGGGAGAGGGCTGCTTCACATTTTAGAAAGTAGGGTAAGGGCGGGTAAGAGTACGCGGGCGATAAGAGTACGCATCAGCTGTTTCGGTTGCTTAGCAATGCGGGTTTGTCGAGTTCATGAAGTGACATGAAGCCACCAGTGCGTGCATGTCACCAACGGAACGTGGGCGTTGAGCGGCGACGCTGTTGAGTTTAAGGCGATGAATATTATTTTCGAGCGTTATGATATAATTATGATATGGTACAATAATTTTGATACTTGGCAGTTGAGATAAGGTACATTTCCGTGATTGTTGTGGGAAACTTGTGAGGTTATCTGGGGAAATACTGTAAAGTGCAATATTCTGTTTGCGAAGTTTTGCACAATGTTTCGGGGTTGTTTTGTGCGCGAATTGCATGTACGGTAAGAGGACGCACTGTTCAGGAGGGTAAGAGTACGCAGAATTATACATTAAATCGAATATACAGAAATATATAATTATTAATCTATCGCTCAATGACGTTTGTTTTGTAGGTATATCATCAATGGAGCACTGTGATGCAGATGCGTACCCGAAATTCTTCCAAATACCAGTTATTCTCCTTTTTTATTTGCATTTTTTAAGAAACACACGACATGATTATTTCCTGATTTATAGACTTGAAAGATTTATTTTGTTTTTCTTTTTGGATACTAGAATTAACTTAAATGCCTTCTGAGTTTGAAGCTAAGCATTTGGACAGTGCAAGCTGCATAGGTGTGTGTTCATATGCTTGCGTACTCCACCCGCCTGGCGTGCGTACTCTTACACACCCCATATGGTAAGAGTACGCAAGTGCAACGGTTCAGAAAAATGTCAGTTTTAGACCACTTTCATTTACGCTGAAGGATCGTTGCCCCATGGGTTGATGGCTAATTCAATGAACTTAATATTCCCTATTTGCGATTTCTTTCCTTCAAATGTTAAACAAATGAGAGCAAGAAATCCACTAAGTGCGTACTCTTATACGACTTCACCCTATCTATTTGTAAACAATTTAAAAACCATGCGTTAATGTTACCGAGCAACATACAGCATTCCTCATGAGACGGGAATTGTGTAATGTATAAGTAATAACTTACTCCAACACTTTTCAATCGGTGTCCCATCGTATGTAGTGTTGAGATTACGACAGGAAATAAGGACGGTGAGTGCTGGGCTCCACGATGAAAGGAGGGGCCGGTGTGACAAATCCCTTCCGTCGGAGCGCAGCCGTAACGCTGTTAGCCAGCCACACACCGCGCCGGTGGTGGCCGGGCCGCCAGTGCCTTTTCGAGTGGTATCGCGACAGGGTTCACAGGCAAATAGTGCCCGCAGGAGCGAGCCCAGTCCGTTCCGCCACTTCCCAATCCGGCGGCGCGAGAAGCTGCCAAACTGACCCGAGCCGGCGGATGGACGCATTGAGAGGGCTCGCCGGTGTCAACTGGAAGCGTGGGTGACTCTCAAAATGGCCCAACGGCTGAATAGCGCCGTGTGGGGGAACTCAACGCGGAAAATAAATTGTTGTGTAGGCAACCATGGGTACGATTTCATCAATAAGGTTGAACGGCGTCCGTGCTGTGCGCCCAGACACCATTATGTAATCTGTCTGAGCTCGGGCGGTTTCATTTCCGACATCAGCAGTCGTCTCCTTCAGCCTTTCACCCGTGTGGTGCCACAAGAAAGCCAAATAACACAGTAAAACTACATTCTCATGATTAAAATATACCTCAAAATCGTCGATAGCAGTTTTAACTAGCATGATTAACAAATCCAGTTTCTAGTTGAGTGACCACAAAATCGGGAGGAAATGGTCAAGTGACGTCTTACTTATCTTTTTATTGCACAAGTGAAGCCTTGGACTGAGTTCCCTGCTCCTCCCCTTCCCCCTCCTTCGGCCGTCGTCACCCCACAATTGACCATCGCGAGTCCCCGGACCTTATCTGAACGGCAGCTGCCCCGACCTGCGACCATCAGCAGCGGTCCGTCGGTGCGACAACTCGCGGCTGCAGAGCGGCACACCAGGCTGACCGCTGGACTTTGTGAAAGCAATGTCTTCCCGTTAGGAATCACAGGTCTTTCTCCTGCACACACATAAAAACACACACGGAACAGGCAAAACAGCATCCATCATCAAGGACACCAGTGATCGCTAATCGCTCCATTTAGCGCCTCACCAGTCATTATTGACGGCCATGGGCGGACTCCGGCACCACGACGGAGTCAGGCGGGGCACAGGCGGGGCACGGGCGGGGCACAGGCCGCCCGGTGACCGGGAGGGGAAATGGAAGGAGCGTGTCCTCCATAGAGCGGGTCAGAGTCGGGCCAGTGTAATGGCGGTCGCTGGGAGACTGAAGGAGGACGTGGAGGCGGGAGAAGAAGAGAGAGGCGAGGTGGGTCGCGAGACCGTGTGGGTAGGAAGGAGTTCAGATACGCAGATGGAATTAAATTGGTCGTGTATGATAAAGCGCAGGAGGCATGAAGTTGGATGTTGATAACAGAAAATGCAATCAACGGGAATGGTAGGCGACGATAACCGGGGGTGGTATGGGTGCATAAGCAGAGACAAAGGAGGCGATAGGCGAGGATGGTGGAATGCCCTTCAGCAGAAGACGACATGGGACTCTATGGGCGGGGCCGTTGGGAGGCGGCCGGGGCAGTAGGGGGCGGTTCGCTATCGACTGCATCTTACGACAGCCGATCGTTGGGTCCGAAGAACGGTCACTGCCGGGGGGGTCGGGCCGAGGCGCGGGGACGGGGCGGGGCGTATACCGCAATCACAGCCGCTGCCCCCGCCGCCCGACGCGCCCGGCCGGAAAAGGTGTCACTCGTCTGGACAAACGTCATTATCGTTCCGCGACGCGAGAATATGGCGACATGGTGCACATTCTCACACGACGCAGACGGATGAAAGGTGATCGCTATAAGGAAAGCATACTGTTGGTTGGAATGATAAGGGGCAACTGTTGTAAATTAACAAAATAACGGTTTTTATTGCATATTACCGTGGACATTTACAATACTGGCAAATCCATATGGAAAGCATTGTAACAAATTTGGATAAATGTCAATAAACCGTTCACGTGATGCATTGTGGTCAATCATACCAATGGACAGACCTTTGATGTCATACAAAATCGTAATTGTACGCCTACTTTTTGGCGGCGGGACTACGGATATTTTAATAGCCGGGCCAAAGCAGACCAGGTTCTGCCATAAAAACAGCTCAGGGTTCGCTACCTGAGTTCAGACCACATTACGAGATTAGCGACACCATGACAATGACACTGAATATGACGCACGTTTCCCGTTATCAGATCGAGAGTTGCCGAGAATTGTGAGTGATCTCATTTGCCCAATGACTATGACGAGCTTATGTCGTGATCCGTCAATTAACTTTCATTAGATGAAGAAATGACGAAATCACCCAAGAGTAACGTAATGTTCCTTTGATTTTTCAAGCACACTCAATATTGCTAAACATCGTTACAAAACTAATACAAAAGAGCACATTCAATTTCCAAAGCGACCATTACCTATCCACCTATTCACCTACCAACCTCCCCATCAGCCTGGCATCACTGCAGACCATTAGCAGCTGCATCATCAGACTTCTGTGGTATCCCGTCCGGCACAGCCTGAATTCCAGACGGCTGATCTGAGCACCCGTCACCGCCCACGGCGCCGGCCGCGAGTCAGCCCCTCGGCGTGATTGAACGCTCGGTACGGGTCGTGGGAGGTGGCCGGCGGCCGCGCTGCGGGCGTCATCTGAGCGTCATCAGACGCCGACCGGTCCGGGCGGTATCACACCTACATCGCGGTCAGCCCGTCACTGTCGTCAGGGTGACCCGATGAAAGGCTGGGCCGCCACTAAGCCCGGCAGTTTGGGATGAGGTCCTGCGGGCTGCGGCGGCGGGTGTGCGCTGGCAGTTGGAAAGGCTGAGGCAATGATGAGCTATCTGGATGGTTCGGTTCGATGGGTTCGTGGGCATGCCACTACAGCGAGACCCTTGGCCATGATGTTTGAGTAGTCGATTATCTATTTGTGTGTGTTGTGCCGGGCGGCCGGAGCGGCGCCCTGACCCACCTCTCATGATGACCTCGTCGCCGTCCTGGAGGAACTTGCGCGTGCTGCCGTCGGCGAGGGTGAGCGGCTTGGAGCCGCGCCAGCTTAGCTCCAGCATCGAGCCGTACGACTCGGGCTCCTGGAGGCAGGAGAAGGGTCACAGACTGAGCCGTACGACTCGGGCTCCTGGAGGCAGGAGAAGGGAGCACATGGTCACAGACTGAGCCGTGCGACCCGGGCTCCTGGAGGCAGGAGAAGGGAGCACATGGTCACAGACTGACACGTGCGACCCCGGCTCCTGGCAGCGGGGAACGGGTCAGACCAGGTCCCGCCCGACTCGTGCTCCAGCCGACAGGGGAAGGGGTGAGACAAGGTGAACGAATGCCGCACGGTACGATTGAGGCTCCTGGTGAAAGAAGACGAGGTCAGACAAGGTCACAGGCTGACCTCAAGGGTCACAGGAATGTGTGTAACTAAGAATACTGGCCTGCGGTCAATGATTGTATTCCCAGAAGCCAATTAATTTGGAATCAATGCTCAACAATAAATCGTCACCAAATCTGTGCGTTTTTCTATATCGGGTCAATTTGGCGGCACTGCGACCCGCTAGGGCATCTTAGGTCGAGCAGAGCAACACAGTACACGTAATACGTAAAATGTCTATGTAAAATACAAGGAAAGTTTAATAGTAATTATATGAAATCGATACTATCGTAAAACACGAAAAATCCCAGTTTCCACTGTCGCTTTCTCTTCGTCAATAGTAACTGCGTTGACGTGGAGATTTGGCCTAACTCGCATCAATTCCTGCCCTAACTCCCTGTGTCACAGTAAGCATATTACGGGGCTGCGCCGTCCTGACAGGGGGCGGCCCCTCGCCCTGACTGACAGGACCCCTCCCCTCCATCACCGCATGTTATGTGTTTATTACCACGCGTCGATTATTGCGGTCTTTAGTGCCAATCTGGTGGGGCTCCGCCTCGCTCTATCAGTAGGCACAGCACCGAGCCTCCCATACTCTCTCCCCGGCCGACAATACGGCGGCCAATGCCGGGACCCCGGCGGCCGGCCGTCCCCGGCCGTCACGTCGCGCCGTCTGAGGGCGGTGACACTGAGTACCGGTTCTCAGTTGCTCTGTCCGGGACAGACCCCGTCGGTGACATGATATGTCAGCCGCCGCCCGACAGACACATCAGGCATTCGGCCCGGGTCGGCCCGGCGGAAAAGCGACCGGTTCAGAGGTCTGGCGGCTCGCACAGAATGGGGATCAGTTGTTGCGGACGCCGCTCGTCTGTGACCGGGGCGATACGGGGGCTTCGGTCGGGACAGAGGGCCCCGGAGTTGGAGCCAGACAGACGCTGCCGCCGGACTGTGGAGGAGCCTTTCGCCTACATCACAACGGGTGCCGGGGGAGCCGACCACGCCACATCGCCCGCCGCGGCCCGCCTCTCTGCCGGGGCTTCTGACGTGTGAGGAGCGGGCCTTCGACACCAGCCCCCAGCTGGGAGCCGGGGCAGTCCAATGGCCAACTGCGCCGTGTACATGGCGCGGACAGGGACCAAACCCGCTCCGGCAGCAATATACCGGTACGGTGCGCCCAGCGGAGACGGTTATAGTAGCAGCCTCGATATGAAGAGCAACACAGGTCCACACACAATAATCAATCGTCTCCACGTCACAACACCAATAGCCGCTCGGTATTAAAGGGCATGACGCAGCCAGTTTATCCCAAGGCAAAGGAAGCCTTCTTCATCGTACTTAATTAGATACCTCGAGAGAAGAGAAAGGTGAAGGGTTCGATACGCCCCCACTCCTTGCAACAGTAGCCGATCATCATTACAACTGTTCTCGAAAATGTTCTGTTTGTCATCTTTCCCCATAAAAAGCCATGTCTCGATTACTTAGTCCCCAAGACACCTGGCAAACAATAGGAAGCTAAGTCCCATTATTTGTTTTAACACCACATGTGAGCGGTTTGTTTGTTTGTTTGTTTGTCTTGTTGGGTTAGGCCCTTGCGGTATGACAAGGTCATTTCAGGGCCGGAGGATGATGGGAATTAGGGGAGGCATTGGTCTGGGCGAGCACCCTGATGAGTCGCTGGGGCTGAGCCCGTCCAGAAGACAGGTTAACCAGCCCCCCTCCCCCTCCCCCCCTAAGCACTCACTGCACCCGGCTACGGGCGTGCTCTTATCGGGGATTCCCGCATGAGATAAAGGTGACCGTCCAGCCCGGAACAGGGGGTTGAGGTGTAGAGGAGAAGGATTTGAATGTCCTGAGGATGGAAAAGACGAGTGGTTTGCGAAAGCGGCACCTAACCATCAACGTTCGTAGAACGCAGTAAAGCTCCAGCTCCCGTTCTGCCACAGCTGTTTGCCGACCAAGTGGCGACATCTACCCTTCTCTGAACGAAAACGGACATCTCAATGTTGGTAGTCAGCAAAGTGCAGCAGACGCGCCAGCAGACGCAAGTAATGCTTCAAGATGAATAACAACTATCAACCAAACGACTACAGCAACAACAGCTATCCGCCCATTCAATAAATTAATACGATTGCCTAAAAATCACTCCCAAAAGAACGCCATAGAAGCCGGGTAAGCAGCGCCATGTCCCAATACGTAGCCCATCATGCTAGGTGTCTGTGTAAGAGGGCCGTACCATGCAAACGGGAGAAAAAAGAATCCGCTGAGCCCCTGAATACCGTGGGGATTTACCAAAACAATAACGATGTAACAAAACAGAAACCAATTTCTGCTTAAAGGTAGTGTGCCACCTTTGAAAGATTTCCCATTTTATTTTTCCTAGGATAAGAAGCTTCTGTTTTTACCTAATATCGCAAAAAAAAATCAAAAATGGGCCTGGAATAGCGCCTTTTTCGCCTAAAAGTTTATCGGTTTTTCGATATGTATAACAACTGTAGTGGGCTGGCCTGCAAACAAGCGTCGGCAACAATCGCGAATGCGGCGCACATGTGACAATAAGCAAAGGTCATTATAGAGTTACGACGTACGGGAATGAGTTATCAGCTGTCTAATCGTAGACAACACAATGTCGAGCCTTAAACTGTAAGCCTGTATTGGTATTGTTTCTTTTATTTGGCTGTCAAACATTAATTTATGGTTTGAAATATTATTTTATGTAAAATAATTGATATGAAACAGCCGTCTCTAAAGTTATGACCCCATCTCACCACATGAAAGTGGCAGAAATGACAATGATCAGCTGACGCATTTTTCTTGGCCGAAGTCAGAGCGCGCGGCCCGACGCACCACCACCGCACCACAAAGTATGAGCAGAAGCCGCGCCCAAAGCCAGGGCCCCGGTAACGTGAGGTAGCCGAGTCGGGGCAGCGTGCGCTGACCCAAGCCGGGGCCGCGGCTTTGGGCGCGGTCTACCGCATCCCCGCGGGCAGCCCCGGGCTATCACATGACACCGGGAGGACGCGCGGCCCCGGCTTGGGTCAGCGCACGCTGCCCCGACTAGGCTACCTCACGTTACCGGGGCCCTGGCTTTGGGCGCGGTCTACCGCACCACCTAACAGGCGTGTTCGAAACCGCAGGAGATGATGATGAACGGGTTTATCGAAACTTGATTGAATGAGCCTATCGGTAATAGCGATTTCAGTGTGTGCATTTATTGTTCATAGTGGTGTGAAATGTGGTTGGGGTACGACCGACAACCCGTCGGGGCGAATTTCGCACTGGGGTACTCAAAATTTGAAGAATTTAAGACGTTTCCATGAGTTTTGAAGGCATGGATAAGTTCTAAAAATCCGGTTCTCCTTATCTGGGCCATTAACTCCATATGGTCCAGGAAAGCTGGCACACTACCTTTAATATCACTCTGCAACACTGAGCGTTTTGCCAAACTCCACGTTGCAGTGCGGTGGGCACGCGCGCGTCCCCAATCCCTCCGTTTCTTACCGGTCCACTAATGGTGCCCGAGGCGAGCAAGTCACCAGGCCGCATGGTGCAGCCGGTGACACTGTGGTGAGCCAGCTGCTGCTTCATCGTCCAGTACATGTGGCGGAAGTTGGAGCGGGACACCACCGACTCCTGGCCGCTCGACTCGGCTGTGCGGCAGAGCAGGACGGATAGAGGACGCTATCAGTCACACACAGGTAGGTGTTCTCTCTGGACTGGCAGTGTGGCCAAATTGGTATAGCGTTAGGGGGAGGATGTATAAAAAAGTCGCATGAGGATGTCACTATTTTAGAAAAAAAAACTCGTCTTCAGACTCATTTTTGGTGCAGTTTTTGCAAGTTATGTGGAAAAACTATACCTGACGTCAAGCCCTGGTGGAAAAAAACTCTAAATATTGTCATTGAAGATGTAAAAAAACAACAACATTGCAAGCGCGACAGTACGAGTATGACGGTGCGAATCGTACATTGGAACAAATCGTACATTGGAACATTTATTCCTACACTAGGCATGCTTTCACAATCACAACAAAAACGTCGTGATGATGTAATTTTAAAATTTCTGAGGATGTCATTATACTTTTCATTGGGGGTGACTTTCCCCGCAACATCACCAATTTGGCCACACTGTGGACTGGTCCTCTGACTGAATTGTTATAGGACCAATAAAAGCGTGAAAATCAATTCGCAGAAAAAAAAAAACAATGAACGAACTCAAGAGCAAAAAAGTTGCTCGAAATGATATCAGTTACAAAAGACCTTAATAAAACAACAACGCACATGACACATGGCACTACACGAGTTACGCACTTAATCATCCCATACAGCTGTTATTTGTCATTATCCATTTTAACGCTCCACCTTCTAATTCTCAACCCGCTGGAGGAGCACGCTATCAGAGCATCCACACGACACACAGTAAACATAACCACCGACGTCCACTCACGTTTGATGGCCACCTCCAGGTTGATATCGAACGTGTACCGGTCCTGGTGGCGCAGGTACGGCAGCGGCTCCGGGTCCTGGACGTAGTTATCGACGGCGAACGGCGCCAGGGCCTCCATCGTCACCACCCACGGCGAGATAGAGGTGCCCAGGTTCTTGGCCGTGAACGGGCCCAGCGGCACGTACTCCCACTTCTGGATGTCGCGAGCTGCCGGTCACGGAAGGAACAGAGGTCGTGGTGATGCTCGAGTGGGCGACAGTCTGTTAGGCAGTTTTGGGCCAGAGCCAACAAACTGTTAATCCTCATGCAAAACGAACCGCAGAAGAAATTGTAAAACATACAGTTCGCCAGTCTCGTACAGCCTAGTTAAATAGACACCATCAAGAAGACCTCAATGCCCCAGGAATCATGACAGAGGATTGCCTCTAGTCAAAGATGGTGCCCTTCCATCGCCGTCCCTCAATCTACATTACCACCCTGTGCAACGCACGTCTCGCCTCTCCTGACTCACCACTCCAGTCGTTCATTAGCGTCATGCCGAAGATGTGATCCTGCGCGCGTTCAATGGGCACTGGATCGCCCAGCGCGTTACCCTGCCCGCCGTAGAAGAAGGCCATCTCGAGCTCAAAGTCCATCAGCCGGCAGGGCCCGAATACGGGCGGCTGATCGTCGGCAGGTCGCGTCTGACCGAGCGGTCGGCGCAGGGGAGTGCCAGAGACCACTACGCTGGAGGCCCGTCCGTGGTACCCCACTGGGAGGTACTTCCTGCGGGGACAGACGCCGCGCGGGGCACGGGGTTAGATCAGTGATGCGTTAAATGATAACCGTGATCGGTCCGAACAGATATGCGCGCGAACAGCGGCCCATCAATTTTGAGTGGGAAAGGCTTCCGGTTAAAATTTCTTATGCCAATGACATATTGTCCTAATTGAAAGCAAAGTGGGTACCTAATATCAAACAGACACGACTGGAAATAACAACGAAACTAGCCACTACGCAGCACCATTACCTAGCAGTTTTCCGCAGCACTAAACACCGATACGCGAACATCGAAAAATAGGCGCCACTCAGGTCGATGCTCACTCACCAGTTGGGCATCAGGGCGTTCTCCTTGCCCCTGAACATGGTGCCGACGTTGGTGGCGTGGTCCAGCGACGAGTAGAAGTCGGTGTAGTCGCCAATGTCAGCCGGAAGGTGCATGGTGGCAGACGACTGCGGCACCAGAGCCCTGCCACACGGAACGGACATTCAGCCGTCAGCGAACCGGCGGGGAGGAGAGGGATATTGGAAAGAGGAAAATAACGTTTACCGAAAACTGGGGCGGTACTTGAAACCCATGACTTGGCATGACAATATCCTTCGATATTGTATGATGAATTAAACATGCGCTTGACACAACGGGATGCACATTGCCCCCGTCCTTGTCCGCTTCACACATGTGCCGGGATGCGGTATCAACTCACTTGGACACGAGGCCAGCGTCGCCCTGCAGCGTCTGGTTATTGGCCGACAGCAGACTCTGAATGGTCGCCCTGGCCTCGGCCCAGGCCGCCCGCCGCAGACCCATCAAACCATTCAGAACGGGCTAAAAACGACAAAACGTGCATTAAATCAAAATATGGGGAACGATAAAAAATTAGCTTCAAGAAGCACCCATAAAACAATAAAAAAAGAAGAAAATACTATATCATCCGCCGACAGATCCGTGCAAAATAATCACGTCTTTGAGCAGCCCAAAACAAGCAAGCAACAAACAAACAAAACGAGCAAACAAGGACGAGTCAGCGAAGGACGATACCTACACGGGCAAAGGCTGACTACCTTTTTGAAGACATCCTGGTGTGCAGCCAGCTCCGGCCCAGTAAACAGGTGGGCAATCACGCTGAGATCCAGGATCATAGAGCCGATGGCCACACCAATCCGGTGTGTCGGCTGAAAATGTCAGCTTTTTTCAGTGAGCAGCCCCATGGCCCATGGGTGATGTAAAATGGGAGGTAAAAACACACTTTTCAGAATAACAGCAGTATGACCCGCACACTCCTACTTGGCAACCAAGTGGTCAAGACATCCTCCTTTCATCTCACTTTTGCAAAACTGGTGCTGAAAAACAAAAATCCTGTATGGAGGTAAAAATCATTTAAATCCAAGGGAGCACAACACAACAGCTGAAGATGACAGCATAGTCAGCCCGAGGTCATGTATCATAGAGCAAGCACAGACTGTTGATGTTGAGAGCTTTCCTCCAGCTTTCTTGCCATTCAAAATCATTTGCTCCTCCTCAATGTCTAGAGCAAACAGCAGTTGTAGTTTTCCATAACTGGCACTTACATTTTCACATGTAGAGAAAACTCCATAGGGGAGGTTTGCCATAGTGAAGTCACTTCCAGCAGGAATGGTCACAAATGATGTCATGTTTGATCAGTCTTGAGTCTTGATTGACAAACTGGTCAGTGTTTGTACCCTGCAAGAAACAAAATGCACATTAGCAAATTTCAAAATCCATGGCAGGGCTTGCTGTTGAAATTGGTAAAGGTGTATTTGGACAAGACCCAAAGCCATAAATTACCAATTATGCTTCATTTTGCAATGGATCTTTTTTGTGATTTCACATCTAATTTAGAAGTAAGAGCATATATTGACTAGCTGCCTGTCCTAGCTCAATTGGTAGAGCATTGGACTCCAGGTGCTGATAGCCTGGGCTTGGGTTTGAGTAGCTTTGGCACTCAATATATGGTTGACTGAAGACTGGGATGGTGAGGGTGAGGGTGGATTTTAGTGAGGGTGGATGCAACCAGTCAGTTTAGTGCAGCAGCCCATGTTGAGTTTTAGTGGGCAATTGTGGCACTGCATCAGGCATGCTGCTGCCCTATATAATGATTTATCCAACAAACTCCTAATCCATCCAACAGCTGATTAGGTAGAAGGCTGGAGAAGTCACCAGATCAGATGGTGGTTGGTACGACCTTGTGTACGACTAGGAACAGCCTGGAAGCTGTTCACTCTTGGGCCTGAAAGAAATATCTAGACTTCTAACAGGAATTGTCAATAGTCAGTGCTACTAGAGCAAGCACGAACTGGAACAGCCACAGCACAAGCACACTACACTTAGCAGTTAGCACTAAACAAGGCCCTATATACTCGCACTAAATACTGAGGGGTGTTCACGGGCACCACAAACTACTGAGTGCGGTGTGTGCGGTGTGTGCAGCAGGCGTGGGGATAGGGGATGGGTAGGCGGTTCTGACGTCACAGCTGTGTGCAGTGGACGGTCCACTGTGGCCAGTCCCGACCGGCCACAGCGATCTCATCGCTGTGTGCAGTGACAGAAGGATGACGTAGGGACGCAGTGGGCGGAGCTTGGAGGCTGTGTGCGGTCCGACCGCACAGGGCTTGTAAACAGCCCTCTGATGTCAATGGGAAACTTCAAACTGAGCCATTACTATATTATCCCTCCAACTGACACAAAGGCATATCAATCTGAATCAATTTCAAAGGACCAATATTGATATCAAGAAAGATGAATCAAAATTATTAAGCATGGGCTGTAAATCAGCATGAAAGTGATGCATGGGAGTGATCACGATCTCGACGAGATCTTGATCTCTTAGCGGATCGAACGACATGTCACATGAGTCGGTGGTAGATATTTTAGCAACCTAGCCTCAAATAAAATCCCACAGCATGGCATGACCTATACTTTGCACCAAGTTGGTTGCAAATATTTCTAGATATGCAAAGATAACCTAGCGACGTGCTAGCGACCTTGCTGTCGCACGACCTATATCAAAATCGAGAGACCTCGAGGATAATCGAGGGACGACGGTGAAAACAGGGCGCCTGGGGCGATTTGATCAAGGTTCGTGAAATTTACACGTGACGTTTGGGATATAGAAGGCCCTTAAAGCGGGAGAAGTTCCAAATGTCACGTGACTAATATGCCCTCCGTATGTTTTAGGGCCTTGCCCACAGTGTATATGCCTTGCCCTCCGGCGCCCTGTTTTCACCGGCGTCCTAATCGAGGACCGGTTATGTTCACTCAATATGTCGATCTGTATTGTCGATGATGCTCGAATCATGTGGCTGTCACGTGATAAAAAAGGAACTTTTGGTCAAATTCTACCTTGTTGTTTACATAAAGATAACTGATCAATAATTAAACTGCATCAAAGTAACAAATTAACAATGATTTGCACATATTGCACTTCTCCAACTGCATTGATTGAACATCTAACACCTAAGACCACGTGACCATTTTCAGTCGGTAAGCGCCCGAAGCTACGAATCCCTAGCGGTAAAAGGCCGCACACACGTGCCCCGCGTTCGATGTCTGTCGGACGACGAAGATTCTACGCCGTCCGGCCAATCACGTTCCATAACCGCGGCCGAGCCCCCGCTGACCTTGATCGGGATTGGCCGACGACGAAGATTCTACGCCGTCCGGCCAATCACGTTCCATAACCGCGGCCGAGCCCCCGCTGACCTTGATCGGGATTGGCCGGACGACGTAGAATCTTCGTCGTCCGAGAGACATCGAACACGGGGTTGATTTGGCCGAAATCATCGTCCGTAAAGACACACCCTGCGTTCGATGTCTCTCGGACGCCGAAGATTCTACGCCGTCCGGCCAATCACGTTCCATAACCGCAGCCGAGACCCCGCTGACCTTGGACGGGATTGGCCGGACGGGGACGACGAAGATTCTACGTCGTCCGGCCCAAGATTCTTACAGATAGTCCGGCCCAAGCCCGGCCAATCCCGTCCCATAACCGTAGCCAAGCCCCGTTGACCTTGAACGGGATTTGCCGGACCAAGATTCTTACAGATACGTGCCGGACGACGTAGAATCTTCGGTCTATAGGGCCTTGGAACCTTCGTTGCCAGAGATTGGTCCGAGAGACTCCGAACGCGAGGTCAAGGCCCAGCCCGCAAGCAACCCAGGTGCCAAACCAGGTGCCAAACCGAGGCCCCTGCTCTAAGCCACAAACCACCCCACCTGACCCCAACGACCCACAGTATACTATAATACACCTCTCCCCCAAACAAAAGAAGGATCAAGGCCATCTATAGACTACACGAGAAGGCACGAGAAGAATGGAGTCGGGCTGTATTCCTGTATCCGACAAGACTAGCAAATACACAAAGGCACACTTTTTGTAATCACAAATTACTCGCCGTGCAACGAGATCGGGCGTGTGGAGCTAAAAGCGAGCAGGCCATCTGTGTTCTCGCGTCATGTGGTGAGATTCTTGAGCTGAGTGCATTATCGAACGATAACTCACTACATACAGCATGCAAAGAACAGGGGCTTCACAGAAGACAAAGGGCACTAACAGCCACCTCGGGCTCGTTTCGTCTTCCAGTCTGCATCGGGGATAAACAAAACTAACCATTAACACATTTTAAAGGTACTTATAACAAGAACAAAATACGCGACAAACTGCGAGCTAGATCACGATACGCTGATGTGCTGCAAAAGTGACATCGCATCCAAGCCTGAGCAGCACGCAAGCGAATGGTGGTGAACAGCACACTGCAGAACACGACGCCTAATCAGAGCCGTATTTGTCCGACAAAGCCGCTGATTCGCCCTCACGCAGAGGCGCAGAGTCTGTCTGTCTGTTCGGCCGTCCTAAAAATCAGACCCGGCCGGCCGCCTAGCTCTCGAAGTGGTTGTACACGGCCTCTACCAGTTCAGCCTTCTTCTTGGTGCCGACCGACTGGCCGACCGATTTGAGGAACGCCTTCAGTTCGTCCACCTTTGCCGTGTTGACCTAGAGCGGAGAACACAGTGTGTCGGTAAATGGGACGATAAGGAACGCAGTAGAACGGCGCTTGCTTACATTGAGGGAACTTTGGTGCGGGAAATAAAATGTTCGGTAACAAATGGGCGGCAGCAGAACAGATAACCGCTGGAACTTGACACCACGACAGTAGCTGCAGCAACAACACAGCAAGAACTGGCACGACAGCGACCACATCAGCATCACAGATAGGACGTCAATTTCAGTCACTGTAGGTTCACAACTCTTTTAAAATGATCGACGGAATCTAAACGTAGTACGTTAAGCTTTTGATACATGATACATGAACAATAATGCTATTCGAGACTGAGCTGCACAGGTGACCCACCAAGTCAGCCCCACTCCTACAGCCTCGCCCGCCCTCCCATTTAGCATCACCCGGTCACTCTCTCACCTTCCTCGCCTCAGCCAGCGCCTTCATGTCCACGTCGACTGGGTCGCGGCGCGCCCGCTTGGCCGCAGGAGACGGGTCCGGGTCGCCGTCCAGTGACACCAGCTCCTTGAAGTTGGCTATCAACGAACCAGCCTTCTTCTCAATGCGCTCAACGTCCGGAGCTGCCGGCGGACAGGGCGTTGAGTGGGACTGTGATGTCGTTGTGGGGCTTTAGAGAGGTAATAAATGTAGCGTTATATGTAGTTGTTTAGTGCGGTGGTGAGTCTGCTGGGTATCTTCATTATTTAGTCGAACTTCTTAGATATTGTCTCACCATTCTGGGCCGCGTACGCAGCGACTACGCTTTATTCCCATCATGACTGACTCCATTATAGGGGTGCAGTTGTTATATACAATCGTTAAAAACGATGTCTACGACGACTCTGGGACAATGCGTAACCCGCGAAGATTTGGTACTGGAAACATTTTTTTCTAGAATGGCATTCAATGGAAGTGCAATAATGCACCATAGCAGCACTCCCTGAAACTCAAGTCCGGGCAGCGGGTTCCAACAATGGTAAGCGGCTTACCCGTGTAGTCGACAAATTCGTCCGGCTGTTGTCGGTTCAGTGCGATGGCCTCGATGTTGATCCAGTGTTTCTGCAGGCTGGGGTTTTCAATCTTGTCCGGCGAGTACTTGAAGCGCAGTTTCATGACGATAGCGCGCGCCGCCTCGATCTGCTCGTCGGTAGCCCGAGTGGGTTCCGGCAGCGACAGCTGGCGAATATCGTCTGAAACACCGCGCATTATTCGTCTTAGTCAAGTGACTAGCTCACCCATAACGCATCCAACGAACTAAGTTTGTAACGACGTCGGCTTATCAGACATATCAGGTATATCGTGATTATCTGTCAGTCCTCACATCTAGGCATCGCCACACGCCGCTCACATTCCCCTAGCTAGTAGCTCCTCATCAAACATCTCAATACGACGGCAGCCGTGACCTACCTGACCCTCCGTCTGACCCTCCGTCCAACCCACCTAACCCTTTGCCTGACCCGCCTAACCCTCCACCTGACCTCTGTGACCCCGTGACGCTCCGCCTGACCTCTGTGACCCGCCTAACCCTCCGCCTGACCTGCGTGACCCCGTGACGCTCCGCCTGACCTCTGTGACCCCATGGCGCTCCGGCTCACCCGCGAACGGCAGGAAGATGACGTGGAAGCCGGGCGGCGCGATCTGCACGCCGCCCTCGGTCCGCTCCATCTGCGGCTGCAGCGCCACCAGGTGGGGCGTGTCGTTCCGACGGCTCACCAGCCGACATATGGCCACCAGACGGCGCTCCTCACAGCGGCGCAGCAGGGCCGTGAACAGCTGACGGCTGCCTGACAAAGCGGGACGTGGGAGGGAGGTAAATCATTGCGAACGGGAGCATCGAAGACGGTCAATTTGTGCCAGAAGGAGGGCTCAAACTGGTAGAGAACCGTCGTACTTAAGGAGAGATGGGTATATTCTGGTAATATGTTTTCGGTTATATTCTTTCGACCAAACCAGCTTGCTTGACAACAAAACAGATTGGATAAATGATGACACTTCAGAAATAAACTCAAGCTTCTAAATCATAAAAAAACCATTTCTTGGCAGCTGCAAATATGCCGGCTCTCGCACCCCCTATCTTATGCGTTCCACTGATGGGCCCGCACCACGCGGCCCATAAGCGAGCTGTACCTACCTTTGACGCGCGCCTCCTCCGGGTAGACGAAGCTGGCCGGCTGCACGTGCTGGAGACCGTCCAGAGTGGTTGCCGGCCGGAACCCAAGCAGTACCAGACCCGGCTCGCAAATGGTACGCATCTCTCGTACCTCGTCCTGTCAGAGGTCACGGCCAGGTCAAATCGGTAGTGAACCCTGTCAAATGTTTTAGATTTATTGTCAGCTTTCCTTTTGCTTTGCACATCTACGAACTCAAATTTTGCGATCCGCAATCCGCATCCCCCTCCCCCTATCAAGTCATGCCCTCAGGCTAAAGTTCCATCACCTGATTCCCCTCCGTATAAGCCACTCTTTCTGACTCGTCCGCCACTCTCCCTCATACCTGAGTGGTCCGTCCCCTCCGCCGTGCCGGCTGATGTCTCTACCCGCCGTCAGTCATCTCTCCCTCCCCCTACATTCCATCTCTCCCCCATCAACTCACGCTGTTGAAGGCGATCTTCTGGCCGCCGTAGGTGAGCGTGTAGTCGATCTCTGACCGCAGCAGCGGCTTACTCGTGCTCTCGTTCACCTCTGCTGCACAGCCCGTCAGCGGCGCGTTGGTGGTCTGTTCCACACGCACCGAGCTCGGCTTCGGAGTCGACCTGCCAGTGGAGCAGCAGAGGTCAATACAGAGGTCACTGGCTGAGACACAGCTAGGGTCACCACAGAGGTCAAATTTAGAGGTCACCGCCACCGTCAAATGCCACGGGTTGAAGTCACGCTTCACGCTAGGCCACATCTGATCGGTCACGCTTGGCCAATGATTTATGGTGAAGAACAGCTTTGCGATTTATTGAGAGGTGATATTATATTTTGAGGTTGGTAGCAGGTTACCTAAAGAAACAAACTGAAATG